GTGAGGCTGAATTACACTGGTAAGGGAAAATGTTTTCTCTGGAGCTTTCTATGTTTAGAAATAGATAAGAGAAGAATGGAGAGAATTTAAAGATAAATAATGAAGGTTGTGTGGTTTTTCTCTTTATCTTCTCAGGTCTGTTGGGAAAGACAAGAAAGCTATTCAAGCATCAATTAGACGAAATAAGGAGACCAACACAGTCTTGGCCAGATTGAATAGTGAGTTGCAGCAACAATTAAAGGTAATGTAGTTTCCAAATCTGTGTTTGGGAAGTGTTTGACTTGAAGGGAAAAGTTAGAAGGTGATCCTGTGAATTCTTACGCTTGTACAAAATGTTCCGTGAGACAGTAAAAATGTATACCTACAATGTTTCATGGAATTTTATTTTCTTAAAAGGAGTTGTTTATGCTTAGTTCTCAAATGACTTATCTGGCACACATGCACACACACGGCTTCATTATTCCTGCAATGTTGTTTAGCTTTCATGAAGATGTGTAACTTAATGAAAATTGTGTTCTCAGGTATTTCCAAGATAACATACATGAGTCTCTGTTTAATTCTTAGCTGAAATGGCCAAGTTACATTATTCTTTATCAAAGAAAATGAAAATTCTGTTAAAGAAACTTAGGGCTGAAGGATTTAAGTTTATGTTCACCTGCCTGTGGAAAAAGCAAAGCCTGACCTACTACTGAAGTGGGGCACGTGCCAGGCGTGCTGCCTGCCATCTCAGAGCTGAGGCACTCGATTCTCTTGTGTTAATGATGGTTTATTTGAATCCCTATCAATAGGAATTACATCCAGAATTATGATTCACTCACAGTATTAAGCACTTACGTCTTACGAAGTGTTTCTCAAACCTTAATGTTTATACTTACAGTCTGGGGTCATGTTGAAGTGTAGATTCTGATTGAGTGCATCTGGGATGGGCCCCGAGATTTCTGCATTCCTAAGAAGCTTCCTAATAAGTTGGCAGAGATGCAGTCACTGTTGGCCTCACTTTGACTAGCAAGATTCTAACCCCCGATGAGAAGAGTTGAAGGAAGTCATAGTTCACTCTATTCTGGTGCTGTGCCACATTTGTCTTTGCCCTGCTAATCTGGACTACATTGGAGTAAATCATAATCCTCTCTGCTCAGGATGACCACATAATGCACTGTCCAAACCAGGAGACTTGAGGGAAAGAGGAGGGTTGTGTCAGTATTTAGGCCAACATATCAGGTGTCCTAGAGAAGTTTATGGCCACCTGTCTCCATCCCCAAATCATAGTATTTCTGGTGAGTGGATTCTTCTCTTGTAGAATTCTGTGGTTGAAGGAGGAGGTATTTGTGTGATCCTGTATTTGATCCATTGTAAAGAAACTTATGGGTACATTTTTACCTAGTCCTAGATGTTGAATATGGAACTGTTAATGTGGAGATACCTTGAAAATGAATATATGGGAGCTATTGTTTCTGTTAAATCACCACAGTTGTGGCTTAACACTCAGTGCTACTAATTTTTTTTCAAGATTTATTGATTTGAAAGTCACAGAGAGGGAGAGACAGAGAAACATTTTCTGTCAGCTTTTTCACTCCCCAGGAGGCAATAAAAGCAGGGGCTGGACCAGGCTGAAGCCAGGCACTTCATCCTGGGCTCTCATGTGGATAGTTGTGCCCACGTGCTTGAGCTATCTTCCACTGCCTTTCCAGGCCATTTGCAAGGACTGAAGTAGAGCAGATGGGATATGAACCAGTAGCCATATGGCATGCTGGCATCACAGGCAGCAGCCTTACCTGCTGCACCACAGCACCAGCCCCCGGGAGCTGCTTTTGAAAAGTAGTGTTCTCATACTTCTGAGAATGGAAGAATAGGCATTCAGGTGACAAATAGAAGGTTCCAGTTAAGACATGATTATATCAGTATGAGAAGAAGAAAAATGAATAAATCAGAATTTGGTGATTGTCTGAAAAGATAAAACCAACAGTGAATCACACTGCTGAATGCATTTATTTGTGCTACCAAAATTCCAAATGAAATCTGAGTTGGATTTCATGATAACCATTAGTTAACTCATTTATAGTTTGTTCAAACAGGCTTTATGCAAAATCCATACATTAAATACTAACCATTCATTGCAAATGCTGGTTTTATTGGGTTACCTAGTAACTAAAGATGATTTTACTGCAGATTGACATAATAACAAACTGTAGATTGCTAGAATCATGCTTTAATATTATGAGCATATAAGGCTGCTTTTTGAAAACATGCTTCTAAATGAGTAGCCTGTAATTTTTACATTGGTGTCTTGAAGCAGAGTTCCTACTGGAAATGCCTTCTTTTTTTTAACAAAATTATAAAATTCAAAATTTGAGAGTCTGGGATTCCCCGCCCCCCTCCAAATTCGCAGCCCCGGCTGCCTGTAACAGTACAGTCCTCCATAAGGAGCTATAATTCCATCAGCCTGTTATTTACGTGTGCCCCAACACTGCTGGTACAGACGTACGCTCTGAAACGTCAGTGGCCTCTGTCTCTTTTTCAGGATGTCCTTGAGGAGAGAATTTCCCTGGAAGTTCAACTGGAACAGCTTCGACCATTCTCTCACCTATAAGCCAATTGCCGTTAACTGTGAACATACCCATTTTTAAGCAGTTTTGGGATCAAAAGCCAATTTGGAAACCCAAACATTCAGCTTACTGCTTAAGTCCACATTAAATTTTATGATTCTGTTTTGCCCTACATGTTCACCATTGTATTTAAGTATCTTTTATTTTTTAATTTCAACAATAAAAGGGTCAGGATGACTTTTTCTGGAGGATATGCTGTGTTTGTTGGCACCCCCCACCCGCTTCTCCGTAGCACAGGATGGAAGACTGTTCTTTCACGTTTCTGTCACCACACTGCGCCCTGGGCGGATTTACAGGATGGAGGTCTCCTTTGCATCTCGAGCAGATGCAGAAATCTTTGAAAGCCTAACAGTTAAATTCTTAATTTTTTTTATCTTTGAGGCTTAATATTTTACATAAAGCACCTTTATTCTGTAGAAAACTTTGAAGTGAGTTTTCTGTTTTCTTAAAACACTAGATTGAATGTAGACAGTTCTCACTCGCCAGTTTTTCCTGGTTTATAAGCAATGTCTTCCTGGGGTCAGCACTGTGCAGCAGTTACAGCATACTTCAGATGGCTTCTCCATGTCACCGTGGGGGTTAGATGTTACATTTTTCTCGCCAAATCCCATCAGTTGCAACAGTGACTTGGAATTTTTTGTGTTGAGTTTTTATTTCTTGGTTCCTGTGCACTCACTGTCGTCCTGTCGTCCCTCAGGAAGAAGGTGAAGCTGAGTGTTAGCCGCGCAGAGGGTTAGAGTTTTATGCTGCTGCTTTTACGGTTCGTGCAGCGCATTCACTGTTAGAAGTCTCCCAGAGATGATCCGTGTGTTTGAGACATCTGAGATCAGTTATTCACTCCGTAAGGTTTCTAGTTTGACCATCAGCCATCTTGTCATTTACCAGACAGGACCAGTTTTTTCTGTTAAGCCTTTTGGCGTGTCCCCTACTCAGGATAACGTCATTTCAGAATTTGCTTTATGTGCTGTATTCATTTCGACCATATTTATAAATTTGCATTCATTACTAATGACAGATATATTCACTTTAAAGTTCAGTCTCTGAAATCATGGATTTTCAACTGCTTGCTACCCACAGAATCAAAAGTGTTATACTAATAAAAACAGCATAATATTAACTTTCACAACTTTCACATATTAACAAGAATTCATTTTTTTAGAAGTTAGAAGAAATTTAGCTTCAGTGTTGAAAGAAAAAAAAATTTAAATAGCCTGTATTCACTACTGCTACCTGTATCAACTATAAAATTTCCACACGGCCCACAGGTTATAGTTTCAGTATCTTAATCAGCCAGAGGGTTTAATGGCCCTGGAGACTATTTGATGCCTATTTTGCTGTTTAAACAGAACTGTTATATCAATTTTGAAATATTCACTTATTTTCCTGACAGAATGCTTCTAGCCACTGGTTTGCTCCAGTTCCTCTAACGTCCAAGGCTGGGCCATGCTGACGCCGAGACCCAGGAGCTCGCTCTCCTATGTGAATGACGGGAACTGAATTATCTGAACCATTAGTACTACTGCATGGCCTGCTGTGGCAGGATGCTGCAGTCGGGGGCCAGAGGAAGGCAGCAAAACCAGGGACCCCGAGACACTGTCCTGCCGAAGCCAGACACCTGTCCCACTTACTTCATTTTCAGTCAGCTCAATTCCAGTACACTCGATTTGTCAGGTTTCCATTTACTTTTTTTAAGTTGTTTTTCCCCCCAGAGCCTTCTAATTTAACAATATCACACATACTGTTAGAATTTCTTATTTGGGAGATCTAGGTGTTTAATGCTACAACTAGTGGGGAGGGGATCTTAGAGAAAACTCTTTTTCTGTTTGTGTGAAAGGCAGATCCAGGGGCAGAGAGCTATCTTCCCCCATGCTCCTTCACTCCCCAAATGCCTGCCAGCGGATGGGACTCGGCCAAACTGAGCTTCCTCTGGGTTTCCTACGTGGGTACAAAGACCAAAGCGCTAGGGCCATCTAGCTTGCTCTCTCGGGCCATTAGCAAGACGCTGGCTAGGAGGTGGAGCATCCGGGACTGAAGCAGGCACCCACATGGGATGCTCTTATCAGGCGGTGGCCCTACGTGCTGCAGCACAGTGCCAGCCCTTGGTGGTGTATCTTTAATACACTCTACAGGAATCCATTCATATGCAGTGATATGTTAGAGTAAATTTCATCTTATTTCTTAAGCTCATTTTCAAATCATTGTTTCATGAAGCTACTGAAGATGACTGGTATATCACCAACAAATTAAAGTCTTTTGATAGGTCATTTAACAAGCACTTTACATCCCGGTTTTGATGTTCATTATATCTTTAAACAAAAGCTGACGCAGGGTGCTTGCTTTGTCTTGGGTTTCTTCGCATCAGTCAAGTTGTTCTAAATAATACTATCAAACAGAACTGCCAGAAGAAATGGTTCAGAATTTTGAACTCGCATTTCTCTCACGTTGTTGATGTAATTGGCCACAGATAATATGGTTGTAAAGTTGGACAGAACCTCCAGGGTCGTCCCCATTGAACCTGTCGTCATCCATGACGGTCCTCCTGCTGCCTCTTGGACATTCTGAGGGGAAATCCGTGCATCACTGCCAGGGAGAGTTGACACCCCTGACGTCTGTGTAAGTTCAGTCTGACTTGTCCATACTGCTTCTGATTGCATGTCGGAGTACCGACAGCCACAGGGCCTTCTCCTCCTCCTCCTCCGCAGCACAGATCCATTCCCGCCGCAGACCTTGGAGAATGAAGGCATGCCTGACATCTGTAAAGGCATTTGCGAGGGTATGCTAATGTATCTTTGCAGGTGATAGAGAAAATAGTTCTTAAATTTAAGAATTAGCTCAAAATAACTGTTCCCAAACTAGGACAGATCCAGTTCAGAATTTCATAAAATTCACGAGTAATTCTAGGATTATCTAATTAACAAATTCTAAATGATAGTTGGTGCATTTTTATTCCTAGTCTCAGTCACACCAGAGGAAACTGGACTCGATAAAGGTCTTCAACAGAGACGGATATTAAGATCTAGACTTAGACAAACCTGACGTGAGAGCCAAAGGCAGAACTGAGGTAACTGCTGCACTTAGCTGACTGCCCAGTGTTAACTAGCTTTTGTAACAGTGCTTTTATGTAGGGCGTGGCTGATTATCTCAAAGTATTGAGACTTGTTTTACTGCATTGAAATACATCCACAATTTATATAGAACTAACCTGGTTTAACTTAATTTGCTTTCTAGGTGGAAATACTTCTTCCCACACTTGGGGTTTCTTGGCTCAACTTTAGAATGGTGTGAACATACTGGGAAGCAGCTCTCATCTAGGTCAGTCCCTTCTCTGAGATCTTGGTTCCAGCCTGAATCTTAAGTGCCTTCTTCACATGGCATTGAGAAATGCTGTCATCACAGATAAATTCAGATTATGTGCCTAACAAATAAAGAAGGGAGACAGATCCTCTTACGCTTGGGAAGTCAGATGTAGGCTCACTAAAATAGGAACAGTATTTCCTTTTGTGCCAAGAGATCTTTTTCTCAGAAATACTATGAATGCAGTACTCAAGTTACCAATTATCCTTTGCAAATCTGTTGATCCCTTTATAGAAAAATTCCCAGCCTAAATGCAAATGTAAGTGGCTGCCTCAAATCCTAGTCCTAGTAAAATAGAAAAGTAATGGATAAAAGCCTAAGCTAGTGCTCCATTGAGATGGTCACTCCAGAGGAAGGCCCCAGGCTCTCGCGTCAGACTGCTTGAAAAAACCACACAACTGGCCTTCTTTCCTTTGGGATTTTGGAAAGCTGCGTTCCTAATTTCTGTACTGTGTTTAGCAATATCTGCCTTCCTATCTTTTGCTTGTTTCAGAGATAAAGTGTAGCATTATTTAATGAAATCTTAGTACGTGAGGAGTTATTTGTGAGTTGGCAAATAACAGCTGCAGAATTCTATATAATACAGTTCTGTGCAAGTGTTTGTCCCTGGGAAGGGGAGGCATACATACACTTGGAGTCTGGAATGTCTTCTATGAGTAATCTGTGAAGGGCCACTGATGCAATGAATTGGTAGGTGGTTTTTGAAGTCCTTTCGAATGGAGTGTAAGCTGTGGCCCGGCTAGCCACAAGCAGGGCGTCATTGAAGAGGAAAAGGCTAAGGTCACGGATATGTTCATAGAGCCTGTGTTCAAGATGGAGAAAGAGGCAGTCTTAATACCAAACAGATTGGTGTTTTCATACACAGTTAACCATCTCTGAGTTGATAAGATATCTTATTGCCCAAGCGTTTACTAGCTAAAGGCCTTTGGCATACTCCATTCGGCAGTCTGTTACTTTCCTCCTCTTTGCTGCATTTGTGGGCCATCACATGCCAGAGTGGTTTGACCTTGCTCAGACAGATCTTTCAGAATACATGTGGGAAAAATGAACTTCCCCTCCTTCATTAAAATGAATCATGTTAAACCTGTCTTTTGAACACTTATCAAATTTAGTGTTTCTGTTTAATGTAATTAGGTCACCCAATGAAAAAGGTTTTTTGTTTCACCTTTAACTGGTTGGGTTGGAAAAAACAGGTGATATGGTATTAGGTATCTCAAGTAAAAGTAAAAGCAGTTGCTTCATAGAACTAAGTTTCTCGTTTTCACTGGATAATAACTAAGTTATATATCCATCAGTTTTCTAAATAAAATTTAAGCCGTGTGATCAGCCATGGGCCCCAGCTCTTCCATCAGACTGCTTTAAAAAACCCACACAACTGTGCTGGTCTTCGCTCCTGTGGGATTTTGGAATACTGCTTTCCTGATGTTCGGACCATGTTTAACAATACCAGCTACTGTGACCCCAGAATTGGGCCTGTCCAAAGCAGGGAGCTTCTTCCTGGTCTGAAATGTGGATTCAGGGGCCCAAAGATCTAGGCTTTCCTCTGCTGCTTCCTCAGGATATTCGCAGGGAGCTAGCTTAGAAGTGGAGCAGACAGTACTCCAAGAGTGCCCATTCAAGTGCACTTTAAATGGATTCAGTACCACTTGTAGAGGGTCCATGCTGATTCTGTCAAATAGGTGTAGAATGGCTGCTCAGAGGGTGAGTGTTTTTATCAAGGACTCAGATTGTTCTCTGGGGGGCTGTAACAGGTGACATTTATGAACCTGAAATGATAATGTCTAGGAGTTGAACATAATACAAATTTTAATGAGCATCTAAATTACCTGGAGATTTCTTTTTTAAATGCAAATTCTGATGGAGTAGAGTTAGGGTGGCCTGAGATTCTGCAGGGTTCCTGGGAAGATCAGTGGTGTTGCAAATCCACTGATCTCTTGGCTACAGATGGAGATATAAGGTATGCAGGTCTTTATTGGTCACAAGCATATGTAAGAGTTGAGTAGGTTGGGATGAGGCAGTTGAAAAATTTCAAGCAATGCTATGGTTTAAGCTCAGGTATCTGACCAGTGTTCAAGTAGGAATTATTTTAAATGTTTAAATGTTATAAATAATGGGTAAATGGAAATGCAAAGGTTTGACCCAACCGTAAGATCCAGCTTCTGCCTTTGGTTACAATTCAGGTTCAAAGGAGCAGGGTGCTTTACATTCACTGATGCCTTGCATGAAGTAATGCAGGCAAGTTGACAGATGATTCTAAGAATAATAGAGCAAATAGAAATACAGACTAAGGATCAGGGAAACATAAAGGCAAGGGGGGCACTGGAAATGTGAATGTGACAGTATGGGATGAATGTCCACCTTACACAGGCAAGAGAGTTCTACCTTGCTTTCTATTTTTGGCTTGGGAGGAAGGAGGCACTATTGTAACCAGACTGCTGATTTGAACAGCTGCTTTTTCCTCATGCAAATTTAGAAAAGTGTTTAATAACACTGCTATGTCTTAAGAGTACTTGGCTTTAGAATATGGATATTCAACTTTTATCTTTATAAGGGACAACACAGAGTGGAAGCAAATGAGAGAGAATTGTTGCTTGTGACCCAGTGAGTGGAGAGTTGGCTACACAAACTTGAACTTGGAGATGAGCTCCTTTGTAATCTGAGGGTATGAGTGAGGAAGATAGGTATACAAAAACATCCTCATTTGCAACTCTTTATGAGAATGTTATAAATATATATGCAAACATTAAACTTTTGGGCCCGACGGCGTGGCCTAGTGGCTAAGGTCTTTGCCTTGAATGTGCCGGGATCCCATATGGTCGCCAGTTCTAATCCTGACAGATCCACTTCCTCTCTATCTCTCTTCCTCTCTGTATATCTGACTTTGTAATAAAAATAAAATACATCTTTTAAAAAACATTAAACTTTTATCTGGAATTCCAAAAACCACTCACTAAAATAAGCTCTCTGAATCTCCAAAACCAGAAGTTTACATTAATTTCTGGGCTGAAGTTCAAGCATTGACATATTGAAGCAGCTGAAATGAAAGCCAGGGCCTGACTGGCGTTTCTGCTCACAAGTAGCTCATAGCTTCAAGGGGAGTTGCCTGGTTGTTGGGTTTTTTCCCTGAGCAGGGTTTCTCTGCTTATTTGCAAAAAGGTCCAATGACTCAGCAAAGTGGAACACAGCTACTTGGTACACTACCTTCTAGTTTCTTGTTGTTTACTGTATTAACCACCCAGGAGGTAAAGGCATAAAACCTCATGAAACCCAAGAAATGCCATTTGCAGGATTTTCGTAAGGAATGTTTCCTTAGAGAAAACACTGCTTACATTTTTATGCACAGTCCTGGCCTTAGTTTACTGTATGGATTAGCTTCTCTCATTTGAAAACTTCCTTACATTTGGGGAGGCAGGTAGCGCAGGAAATCTGGTAGAAGGTGCCCGAGGCCACAGAACTAACAAATCCTACTCTGCGATTCTCCACTCCATGACTGCTGCTGCTCCAGCTGCGCAGACCAGCAGGATCCTCCGCTAGGAACCCACCTGCATATGGCCATTACTAAACACAGCAAACAGGAGCCAGGACACACAGCACAAGCAGATATTCACAATTTAAATGAAAAAAAAAATTACTCTGGAATCAAGATGAAGTCATGTTATTATGTGATCAAGGAGATCGAATCACAGCCTATCTGAAACAGGAATAGCCCCACTGGAGCCAGCCAGAAGGAAGAAGAAGTAAAAGCCAATGCTGGAGATTCAGTGTAGACTAACTTGAATGATTAAACTTGAGCGGCTCCCGTGTGGCTCCGAGTTTGCCCTCCGGGAACCTACGAGGTGCTCACTGAAGAGCTAAGAAGGTTCTTCCCACAGGGAGGACAGATTAGCCCTTAGTGCACCCAGAGTTCTTACCCAAACCCTGCCCACAAGGAGCATCTGTGTGAGCAACAGACCAGCCTGGGTGGTTTTTGTTGTTGTTGTTTTGAAAGATATTTTATTAGAAATTCCGATTTCCAGAGAAGGAAAAACAGTTCACTCCTCAAGCCACATCCTCCAGAGCTGAGCTGGAGCCAGGAGCTTCTTCCATGTCTCCCACACGGATGCAGGGTCCCAAGGCTTTGGGCCTTTCGTATAGCTTTCCCAGGGTACAACTAGGAAGCTGGCTGGGAGGCTGAACAGCCAGGACACAAACCAGTGCCCATATGAGATTCTGACACATGGAAGGCAAGGACTTTAGCCACTAGGCTACCATGCTGGACCCCCAAACTGGGTTTTTAACCATAACCTAACTGTACTGGAGAAGAGATACCTAATACTCCAACACCACCCACACCCACCCCTGCCTGACCTCCCATCCTTGCCTTAGAGGTTTAAAAAAAACTACTGCTGAACGTACTTATAAAGGATCAGGTGAGAAGCAGCTTATTTTTTTGTTTGGTTGTTTGGTTTATTACTTTTAATTTATTTTTTATATTATTTTTTATTGATTACATTGCAATATGTGACACTGTCTCATAGGCTCTGGGATTCCCCCAACCCTCCCCAGCCCTCCTCCCATGGTGGATTCCTCCACCTTGTTGCAGTATTACAAGCAGCAGCTTATTAAAAGATGAAAACCTAGTCAAGTACTGAGCAGACTGGCTAAGACACCTGTGCTTCTAACCAGAGTGCCAGCTCCACACCTGGCTCGGACTCCTGCCAGGTGGATGTGATTGGCCAGGGCGGGGAGGGGTGGCTAGCATAGCAGCTTCGCTGTTTTGGGTGCTTTGGTTAAGACCTCCTGGTCCCATGTCACAGCCACTACCCAGCTCTTGCCCCGGACAGCTGCCTTCCTGCTGATGTAAAACCTTGGGGACCAGTAGTAACAGCTCCTGTCTGTGGGTTCCTCCCACCCACCTGGGCTCTGTGTGGACTTAGACCCAGCCTGAGCAAAACTGTAGAAGGCATTTGGAGAAAGAGCCAGCAAATGAGGACTTTGTCTATGCCTACTACCCACATGGCAGACCCAGGCTGAGTTCTGGCTTCATGGCTTTGGCCGGGCTATTGTAGGCATTCGGAGGGAGAACCAGAAAGATCCCAATTCTTTTTCCCCATCACTCTGCCTTATAAACAAACAAAATTGTTTTAAATCTTAAAAACAATTCCTTGGGGCCTGGCACGGTAGTGTAGTAGGTTAAGCCAACACCTGTGATGCTGACATCCTATATGGTTTATTAGCTTGAATCTTGGCTCCACTTTTTAAAGATTATTTGTTCGAAAGACTGAGTTACATAGGGAGAGAGAGATCTTCCATATGCTGGTTCACTGCCCAATGGCTGCAACAGCCAAGACTGGGCGAGGCCAAAGCCAGGATCCAGGAGCCCCCTCTGGGCTTTCCCATGTAGGTGCTGGAGCCTGCATGTTTAGGCCATCTTCCATTGCTTTCTCAGGCACATTTAGCAGAGCGCTGGATTGGAAGTGGAACAGATGAGACTTGAACTGGTGTCCTGAGGGATACGGGCAGGGCAGGCAGTAGTTTAACCAGGTGTGCCACAGTGCTGGCCCCCGCTCCATTTCTGATCCAACTCTGCTAATGCACTTAAGAGAGCATCAAAAGATGGCCCACATGTTTGGGCCCCTGCCATTCACATCGGAGACACAGATGGAGCTAGCCACAGCCATTGTGGCTGCTAGTGTATGAACTAGTGGATGAAAATAATCTCATTTCCCATCCCCGGCCCATGCTGTATCACTTGGCCTTTCAAGTAAATAAATAAAAGATTGACTGTACATGGGGACAGATGCAATAGGGACTGATGTTTTCCATATAAACTGTTGCCCTGTGCCTTTAGGAAATATTTGCGGAAATATTCATTGGAGTAACAAATTTTTCATTCTGTTTAATTGGAGCTGGATAAACTAAATGAGTTAACTTCTTTTTATTTGGTTACTATTTACTGAGTCATTGTCTTTACCATTATTATTACCAGCATTATTACTGCCCACTGAAGCACAGACACGCTGTTCACGTCTGTGTTGCCTGCTGCAGACTGGCTTGTTTTATGAACTATGCAGCAGAGATCTACAGAGATCATTGGCCAGTGTTTGCGCTTCTTTGTGCAGTGCATGCTGGATACGATCATGTCCTTAACACAAACCAGGCCTTTTCTTCCTACAGTTGCATCAGCCTTGGGGGTGAAATCCCATACCACTTGCTCTTGTCTGAGCAGGAAAGGGGTGCTCCTTCAGCTTCCACTTGCATGCACTTGGTGATCTTGGCAGAGACCATTTCTTTTCTCTCATCCCTTCAAGTACCTGCCTAGACTTCAAGCAAGATGGTAAAGTAACCGTCTCCTAGGGATTCTGGGGAACTGTTCACACTTACTGCAGAGAATCACCCTAAGTGAACAGAGTGTCTGGCAGACAGGGTACTGAAGGCCAGGGACAAAGACAACTGGGTTACCTGCTCTTCTTCCTCTCCTTGATTTCTCCCTTCTTTTTTATACTGAAAATGGACATGCATTTAGATACTTCATAGCCTTAGGGGATTTATTCATTGCTTACCTTAGGGAGAAGCTTATTTCCTCATCACAGCAGTGAAGTTGGGCTACGTCTTGGACCCTAATCAGATACCTGCTTACTTCCGATATAGCCTAGAAAATTAAAAACAAAATTAGAAGCATATATAAATTTTCAGAATGACAAAAGATCCCAATTTTGAATAATCATGTTATGATTTTATGTATCAGAAAAAGTATTGACTTCAACTCAGTTCAATTATGAAAAAGTGAATGTTTTCATTGTTTATGACTTTCATTTTAGAAAGGTCACAGAATTAGCAATGAAATTACATTGTAACTTGTCAGATCTTAATTAATAAAATTGTTTTTTCATTGGTAAATGCATTTCCAGTATCAGTTGAGGGTGAGGAGTTGTCAAAGAAAGGAAGCAGATGGTCAAGTGGGCTAAACTACTGCTTGGAATGCCAGCATCCCATACGTGACGGCTTGTGCAAGTCCCAGCTACTCCACTAATGATGTAGTTTCCTGCCAACGCCTACTGAGAGGCAACAGAGGATGAGGACGCGAGTGCTTGGGTCGGTGGCACCCACATGACAGACCCAAATGAAATCTGGGGCTCTGCGTGGACCTCTCCCAGCCTTTGCTGCTGTAGGCATTTCAGGAGTGAACCAGTGGGTAGATCTTTGTCCCAGGTAGATAAAAATACATTAAAAGAAGAAAAGGAAGTGATTGGGTTGATCCTAAGAAGCCAGACCTTTGTGCTGTTCTACCTATGAAACGATCTCTTGATGGCAACACCAATCTGGAGGTAAAAGTCCACTTCTCAGCACACTAAAATGTACAGATCAAAATTATGATGCAACTGCCCCCTAAAGTGACCCTATAAAAGGAAAATGGCCAGTCCACTGGTACTTTCATTCAACCTCATTTCCATAGAAAGGACCTGATGTGTACTGGACACTAGGGACCCAAGAGCTGCAGAAACACATAGCCAGGATGTTCAAGATGCTGCAGGACAAAAGTAGGAACATTTCCTGGCTGCAGGTGCAGGGGAGCTGTGCCAAGACGATGAACAAGCTGGACTTCTAAAGGGTGCACAGGAGCTCACTCATCAATCAGAAAAGGCAAGCAATTTCAGAGAAGGAACAAGATGTACAAAGCATACATGTGCCAGGAGAGGCTGAGGTTACTAAGGAATCCTCAATAAGCCTGGGTTTGGGGATCATAAGGTAGGAGGGGAATGCTCTAAGAAGGTGTGGTGGACTGTGGATGGAAGCAGAGGGTATTCTGTAGGGAACAGCTAATAGGACTTCTTAAAGTTGTTCAGAAAATCCCTCACCAAATTCTGGGTGACAGGGAGAGAATCCAGGCGGAACATGGGGCCTCTTTTCTCAAGGAGCATCATGACAGCAGGCACATCAATCCCAGGAGTCAAAAAGCCACAAGGATGATCAGACCCTGGGCCCCTGCAGAGAGCATCCTCCCTGGAAGCAGCAGTATACATGTGCATCCTGGCAGTGCCTGGCTCCCAGCAGACAGGGCGCAAATATGGGCCAAGTTGGAGCTATGCATGTCCTCGTGCCAGTAACTTTGACTTAACATTCCTAAGCATGAGATTAAGCACACCCGAATACTTACGGGGCACCCCCAGATGATTCTCTGTATATCGGACAGCCTCTCCTCCATATGAATACGTTGCTTCATCTGGAAAGCAAAGTGATTTCAGGCAAATGAAAATGGTGAGATATTTATTCATGACAAATCTGTTAAATATTTTACATCACTTGATACAGGGCTGGGTACCTTCATTAACTGCAATAAAACACCCCCAGTTTTCTATGCTTGAGGTTTTACAACACAGGAAAATGCTTGAGGTTTTACAACACAGGAAAATCACAAGACGATTGAAGCTTGTCTTGGTAAACTGCACCACATGGGCAGTTCACATGGGGCCCACGCATCCAGTGTACCCCCACACAGTGGTAGTAGCTGTAGAGGGACACCACTTGACTCCAAGATCCTGAATTCTGTCTGAATGATTACAGCTGCTGTACTCACTAAGGCAGAAAAGCTACTTAACACATTTCAACACGTCTTTCTAGAAACTGAAGTCTTTTATGTCTGGGTTTTCTCTTGGTTATTGTAGAAAAGTCAAATCTCTAATTCTACGAACTATCATATTAACAAAGGTCTCACTGTATTTGCACAGTTACCCAACAGCATTCTAGCTCATATGCCTTGGCTCAGGATTGACACCTTAGCATTCAGAATTAGTGAACACAGCTGCTGGCTTAGCATTGAAATGACTTGGGAATCAAGAACATCACAGTGAGAGTGCCCCAGAAGCACTGTGACATTCTGCAAGGGCGTGATTGTTGGTGGCCACCCACCTGGTCTATATAAGCCTGGTATTTTCTGAGTTGGTCAATGGCAGTGGTCAGGTGCACCCGGTCCACGTGTTCTGCAGGAGTATGCAGCCTGAGTGCGTAGAGCAGCTGGAGGTACTCTTGAAATCTCCAGGATGGCAACAGCAGCAACTCTGGCAGGCTGCAGGAAGCATGGGAAGGAAACCAGGTCTCCACCTGAAGGTCAGGCATGCCTGACCTTGGGGAAGAGGCGAGGTTGCAGGCCTTACCTCTGCATGTTGGTGACAACCGTCTTATCATGCCGCCTCAGGAAAGCTCGGAAGGCTGGAGTCGCTTCTCGGCACTGAAAGGTCAGAATGACATGGCACGGCTTCTCTAGAGGATCCCATTGTGAAGCTTTGTGTTCTGAGCAAGCAGCACCCCCCAAACACTCCCGGCCATAGTACTCAGGCCTTACTAACACAGTAACCGCAGTGGATTAGTCATACTATAGACCTAGCCCACTCATCAAACATAATGGGCTCTGCAACCAGGTAGGCCGACATCAGAATTAGAATAAGCTGAGTATGTGACCTTTTCAAGCTGCTTACCTTCTCTGAGTGTCAGCTTTCTCATGTGTGACACTGGCATGTATAGGTGGTAGCTAGTGCTGTGTCATCAACTATAAACATCTGCACAGTATTTTGTTCCGAATGATACATGACACTTTGCACCTCAATTCTTTTCTCTCAGAGTCAGTTCTGTGAAACTGCCTTAGTCACACAGCTTTTTGGCAATACAGCAGTCCAGGGAGCTGACCTTGTTGCCAGTGGCAGAATGGAGTCAGAGCTGACCTTGTTGCCAGTGGCAGAATGGAGTCAGAGCTTATAGTCTGGCTGGATAGAGAAACAGCCCTGCCACTGAGTCCCAGAATATCAGGAACAGATAGTATTCAGGCAGGTGATTGAGGAATAGCTCAGTTCAACAGCCAGCTCCAGGACACTGAAGGCACTGTGCTGGCCCCCAAGTCGGGCACCTTGTTCTGGAGAGCTCACGGGGTAAGCCAAGGGGCCCAAGATTTAAAAGCAGATGAGCAGCCTGTGCTATAACCCCCAGCCTTTAGACTGTACCCAAGACTTCTTGCAAGCTCAGAAGTTCTAAAGAAATAAAAGGCACCAACTCAAATCATTTACCTTTTCAATGGTTTTCAGAACCACAGGGTAATTGTTGAAGAAATTGCTGTATGTGTTCAACTGGCTTCCAAACTTCAGGAATAGTTCCCCCACACAGTGAACTGGGCCCCAGTCCTGCAGTCTGTCTCTAAGATTATCTAAAAACTGCCTGCAATAAGAGAAAACACCAGAATTTCATTAGCCTCTGATAATCTATTAATTTAAATCATGAGTCCACTGCCATTAATACAGCCGTTCTCAACCTGGCCCTTCAGAGCAAAGTTTTGTTACTTTAATTTAGTTAGAGACAAAGAGAACTGCCGTCCACTGGTTTACTCCCCAAATGTCCACTAACCAGGAGCCAGGAACTCAATTCACATTTCCCTGTGAACTGCAGGAACCCAGTTACCTAAACCATCACTGCTGTCTCCCAGGGTCTACGTGAGCAGGAAGCTGGAGTTGGGAACCAGAGACCAGCAACAAACCCAGTCACTCCAAAGTAGAAGTGTGTGTTTCAACCAGTATTTTAAATACTGATCCAAAGGCCCATTCCTACAGCAAAATTTTATCATTTCATTTTTGCTAGTTTTTTTTTTTTAAACAAAGACTTATCAGGAAGCTTAAAACTACTCAATCAGGTGGCAGCCCACATCCTCATCTTAACCCCAAACTGGTCTCAGCAAGGCAGCAGGCGAAGTTGATCTAAGGCTCTGAGTCCATGAAGGAAATGCTCCGTTTGCTTCAGTAGCTAAGTACCTCCAACCTGGCCTCTGGAGTTAAGCTGGCCCCTTATCCATCCTCCTTGGTCTTAGGGACTACAACAGACCTGCTTCATTTTTGTAGGAGTTGCAACCTAGGAGCTAGCTCCAAGTGCCCAGAGTTGTAGTCAGAGAAACATACACTGAGTTTGTCTTTTTCTTACATACAGAAATAACTATTCTCTTGCATTACACATTCACAACTTAAACTATTAAACCGACTCCCAGCTCGAACTCTGTAAGCATAGCTTCCTAGAGGCTTGATCCCATTCAGTCATTCCATTTCTTTCCAGTGCTCAGCCATACTGCCACGAAGAACAAGGGCAGCTCCACGTGGCTCTCCTTGTTGTGGTTTTTTGCGGGGGCAGGCTGCTGTCAGAGTTCTCAGGCACTGAACAGTGTTCTTCCACCATGATCACAAACAGAAGTAGAAGTGGATAACCATTTGCAGAAGAAGCAAGATCACTACCTTTCATCTTATACAAAAATCAGCTCTAAATGGATCCAGGATCCAAACCTATGCCCAAACACCATCAAATTACTAGAGGAAAACACGGCAAACACCCAACAAGGAATAGGCACAGGCAAAGACTACTTAGAAAAGCACAGGAAGTTCTGGCCAAAATAAATTAAAAGAGCTGCATCAAACTAAGAAGGTTCCATATAGCAAGGGAAATAGTTCATAAAGTGAGGAGGCAAACAACAGAATGGGAGAAAGCATTCGCACACTACCCAGTAGGCAGAGGACTAATACACAAGATCTACAGAGCTCCAGAAACAACAGCAAAACAACTGTCAAAATATGGACAAAGAACCCAAACCGATAGTTCTCAAAAGATAAAATTTTAAAAGGCTAGTAGGCACATGAAAAAAAAATTGCTCAGGTTGCCTAGGAAATGCAAATAAAAAACTAAAATGAGGTTCCCCCAAATCTAGAGAATGCCCTACACACAGAAATAAGCAATTATTGGCAAGGATATGGGGTAAGGTGCCCTCTTCCACTGCTGTAAACTAGTACAACAGAATGAAGTCAGTATGGAGAGTGTTCAGACAACTGAGACTTGATCTACCGTATCATCCACCTATCGCACTCCTAGCAATATATCCAAAGGAAATAAAATCTGCATTCAAGGGATCAGTCTGCAACCTTACATTCATAGGAACACAGTTCACAATTGGGAAAACATGGAATCAACCAAGATACCCATCAACAGAAGAATGGATAAAGAAACTGGTACATCTGCTCAAGGGAATACTACTCAAGCCATAAAGAGGAAAGAAATCTTGTAATCTGCAACAAAAATGGTCCCAGCTGGAAACCATTGTGCTTAATAAAGTACATGAGTCCCAAAAGCTCAAATATCATTAGTTCTCTGACACTAGACAGCCAATACACAAAGCACAATGTGTTTGTCTGTCTGTCGCAGGAAGTAAAAGTACTGTGCAGTATGTGTCTCTACTTCCCAATGAAAGTAGGACTCTCAATGAGATTTATGAATACACCTCCACATGTATGATACTACGTTTTCTGCCTTTGCCTGGACTTATGGAGTCATGATACATGTAAATCTCAGAAAGTTAAATTTGTAAGGTGTACCAAGGGACTATGCCATTGGGAAAATACAGGGGGTAAATCGCAGGAGGGGAAAATAGGGAAGCAAAGAGGATAGGGAGAGAGAAAAATCCCTATGCCTACAAACTGTTTTGTGCTAAGCAAAAAAAAAGGAAAGAAATGGTTCCTGGGAAGCATCCATAGCGGTGACGACCCAGTGAGTACCACAGGGAGATGGGGGAACCTCTGCCCTTGTGGGCTGATCGGGGACCCCCACAGTCACAGAATGACTGAGCTCTCTATAATTGTCCTTATTGTTAATTTTTGAAATGATTTGTTTATTTGAAAGAGAGGAAAAGATGGTTTTCTTTGATCCACTGCTTCACTCCCTAGAGGCCAGCAACAGCTAACCAGGGGCAGGGCCAAAACCAGGAGCTTCAAACTCAGTCTGGAACTCCCAAGTGAATGCAGGGTCCCAAGTACCTGGGGCCATCCTCTGCCTCTCAGGCTGTGCATCTTCCAGCAGGAAGATGGACCAGAAGAGGAGGAGCCAAGAATCAAACACAAGTGTCCCAAGTCATGCCTTAGCTGCTGCACCAAATGCCCACCCCTCCCTACGCTTTTGCCAATTAAGCATGGGCTCCTCCCACTGCACAATAAAAATTGCTTAACATGCATATTTAAGGTTTACCTGTTGAGATGTAAAACTTGCAGGATGTCAGAGAAAATGATCTGCATGTTCGCAGTGCTCAGGATCGCTCTGTTGGATGCCAAGGCTGCTTCCAGCGGCCTCACGTACACATCTCTCACGACCTCCAACATTTGCACATATTTTCTCTCACTCTGCACAAGCTCCCTGACAACTCTACTTCGCTTTTCTGCTGAGTCCATCTGGAGCTTTCTCTCCTGCAGAAAAGTATGAAGAAGTCTTAAGCAAAGCATGATGACTCTCCCGGGGCTCAGCACTCACAAAGCCTCAGAGTTGAAGCCACAGAAAGGGAAGCATTGGGCATCTTGCAGGGGGCCGACGTAGAGATTCCCACATGCTGGTTCATGACATATGGAGTGGGAGGAATCTTGACAGGGACTAAGGGGGATGCTGCTGACCATTCCTCGTCTCCAGTCCCACCAAGTATACTGTCACATCAGGCTGGACTGATGCCAGAGAGGATTTTTAAACTTAGATCACTACTGGGCAGATTGAGACATATCCTTGCATCCTCCAACCCACTCATTCATTTATCCCTGATCCATCCAAACAGTATGTGTAGATGTCACATGCTAGCTAGTGATTATAAGCTTGAGAAAGAGTCTCGCCTCCTGGACAGACTATAAATGAGCCCTTTGAGCAATCCACCTGTTTTCTCACTTCTTTTCCCCATGTCTTACAATACAGAGAAAAGATCTGAGATGAGTCACTATTCTTGTTATTAACCAACTGACTACCCACTGGCACATTTTGAAAGGCTAGAACTCATGCACTACTTCCAATGTTTGGGGAAAAGTATCTAGGGGTGGGTATTGACACCACAGTTAAGATGCCACTTACAATGCCTGTATCCTCTGTGGCCAGTGCTATGGCACCATGAGTAATGCCTCTGCCTGCAGTGCTGGCATCCCCTATTGGAAAGCCTGGGTTGGTGTCTGAGCTCTACTTCCAATCCCTGCTTCCTGCCGATGTGCATCCCGGGAGGCAGCAGGTCTCTGCCACTCACAAGGGACATCCAAGAAAAGTCTCCCCCTTGTGAGCTCTGAGTCCGTGTCTCCTGGTAGCTAAGTTGCCTGATGCTTCGTGTTTCCTATAGTCCAAAGTCCTCTTCTGTATCTTGATGCAGATGTAAAAAAAAAAAAAAAATCAAAAGCTGGTGTAAAGAAATTTCACAGACTGATGTGCCCAAGTTTATATACAGAGAACTAGGCAATCCTTTTTCTTTTCTCTGTGTCTTCCCAGAGCTATAAAAATGAGCATCTTTACAATAGCAAAAAAGTAGAATATTTATAGTTTTAAATCTGAGTAGCCTTGTGTTTGAGTTTGGAATTATTAAAACTCTTAGGACTTGATCTCCTCATTTCCCTGCATGAGCCCTAACTATACCATAACTTGCTCCTGCTATTCTTCCCTGAGCTGCCTCTGTGCCCATTTGGCATGGACATAGTATCTCTTCTGTGGAGTGGTAGCCAAAGGGATTCTGGCACTCTCCATGGCAGACAAGCCCAGGGAAGGCTGAGGACAAGCATCATCTCAATGTGAAGGTGCTGAAGCAGAAGGCATCCGCAGTGCACCTTCAGAGGTGCATATCTTGAAACTGGAGCCACTACTGCAGTGCACCTCACCATGCAGCTCCACCCTTGAGGCACCGTGTCATTCCACCTGTTCACACAGGGGACTGCAGCACCATAACCACAGTTGAGCAAGATCAAGGCCTAGCAGAATGGTTGAGACTTCAGCTTGTAAACCCCAGAGGAAGAGTGACCTTCCCAAGGAGAAGTGGACACACAGCCAGTGACCTGACACACCTGCAAAATGCCTGCACCCAATCTGTTGTCCAGCCAGGCAGCAGCCTATCCTGTTGGTAAGCCTGCTGCACAGCCACCTGGCCCACAGCACCCAGAGTGCCTGAGCCCAGCCCATGGCCCTCCCCACTGGAGTATGTGCTGTGCAACAGTCAGCAGGACAGCTGCTCTGTCCCTGGCAAAACTGGACCACAGTCTACAGTAATCAACACCTGTATCCTTGGCTACTGGAGCAACGAGACATTGCCAACAGTCTACAGCTGAAGAAACCACACAGGAAGTAGAGTGTGCCTTCCACAGTCATAACTAACAAACCATAGCAAACTGACACCTTAGTCTCTCCCTAAAGCCCCCCAAAATCTATAAAATTGGAAGGAAAAAGTTTCCATAGTACCAGCACAATGTACAGACAAGAAAGTTTAAAAAGCAAGCAAACATACCAACTTCAAGGAAATACAATAACTTTCAGTAGCAGCAGCTCTCAAAGAAGAGGAAATTAAAAAATGATTCATAATTGGTATAATGCATTTGACACAGAGAAAGATAACACAGCAAAGAGCGCTATAGAAGTTGTGCAGTCAAAGTATTCAGGGAACAAAGTAAATATAATTGAGAGCTACAATAAGAGACTTGCTCAAGCAGGAGAAAAAAAAATATTTTTGAATTCAAAAATAGGTCTTCTGAATTAATCCAGTCAGAGGAAAACAAAGAAGAAAGAATGAAAAGCAATGAAGAAAACCTACAACAGCTATGGGACAGCATTAAGCAAGCAAATAGTCACATTAGAGCAATTCTAGAGGGAGAAGAAATGAACAATACAGAAAGCATATTTTCTGAAATAACAGCTGAAAACATCCCAGGTCTTGGAAGAGATAAACATCTAAATCCATGAAGCTCAACAGACACAGCCCAAAGAGCTTCTCTCGAAGGCATATCTGTAATCAAGCTGTCAAAAGTAAGAGACAAGGGCTGGTGCCTGGAATAGTGAGGAAAGCTACTGCCTGCAATTCTGGCATCCCATACTGGCACCTGTTGATTCCCAGCTGCTCCACTTCTCATCCAGCTCCTTGCTAGTGACTTGGGAGAGCAGCAAGTAACTGGGCCCTGCCATCCATGTGGGAACCCAAGACATAACTTCTGGCCCCTGGTTTCGGATTGTTGCAGCTCTGGCCATGGTGGCCATTTAGGGAGTGAACCAACAGATGAAAGAGATTCATTCTTCCCCCACACCTCTGTCCCTAACTCCCACTCTCCTCCCTCCAATCCCCACATATTCTTCCCATAAAACTTTGCCTTTCAAGTAAATTTTTAGAAGTCAGACACAAACAGAATTGTTAAAGCAGCAATTCTATACTCAGCAAGGGTACCTTCAGAAATTAAAGAAAAGTCAAGTCTTTTTCAGATAAGCAGAAACAGAGAACATATACTACATCAGCCTTACAAGAAATGCTGAAAGAAGCATTGAGAATCAGTAGGACAATAACTACCGTCATAGAAACACTTAGATGTATAAGCACATTGGCAGATACACAAATGAAAAAAGCAGAAAAGAATCAAACCTTTTCATTGCAGAGTCTCCAACCACAAAGATTAACAATAAGAGGAAGAAAATAACAGGACATATAAAACAGCCAGAAAGCAGTGACCAGGATGACAGAAGTGGGTTGTCACCTATTAATAAGAATCCTAAATGTGAACAGCTTAAGTTCTCCAATTAAGCATGTAGACAGGGGACTGAGATTGCAGCACAGTAGGCTAAGCCTCCACCTACAGTACAAGCATCTTCTACGGGAGCTGGTTTGAGTCTCAGCCATTCCCACTTCTGATCCAGCTCCCTGCTAACATCCTGAGAAAGCAGCAGAGGATGGCTCAAATCCTTAGGCTCCTGTACCCACATGGAAGACCCGAAGGAGGCTTCTGGGTTTCAACTGGTTTTGAACTGGTTCACCTCTGGCAGCTGTGGTCATTTGGGGAATGAACCAGCAGATTAAAATGCCTGTGTCTCTCCTTCTTTCTGTAACTCTGCCTTTCAAATAAGCATAAACATTTTTAAAAAGATGTAGACTGGCTGAGCGGATGAGAAGCAAGACTCAGTGCTGCCTAGATAAAACTCAGATACCTATTAAATAGTAAAAGAATCAGTTCAGAAAGAGGCTATAACCACTGTAAATGCATATATACACCAGTGGATCACCTAAATGTGTAAAGCAAATATATCTACAGAGAAGTACAGACTCTACAACAATAGAAGTTGGGGACTTTGGTACCCCACTTGCAATGGTCATGTCATCTCTACAGAAAATCAACAATGAAACATTACAGACCAAATAGACTTGACACATGCAGAATATACATTTCTTTCATCAACATATAAAACGTTCTCCATATCAGATCCTACACTAGGCCACATAGCAAGCCTTCACAGATTTTTAAATATCGAAATTACATTATTTCCTCAGTCTATAATGAAACAAAAATAGTCACCAATCAAAGGAACTGTGGAAATTACCATACAAATACTTAGAAAGTGGGCCTGGCGCGATAGCGTAGTGGTGAAGTTCCTTGCCTTGCATACGCCGGGATCCTATATGGGTGCCGCGTCTAATCCCAGCGGCCCTGCTTCCCATCCAGCTCCCTGCTTGTGGCCTGGGAGAGCAGTCGAGGATGGTCCAAAGCCTTGGGTCCCTGCACCCCCGTAGGAGACCCAGAAGAGCTCCTGGCTCCTGGCTTTGGATTGGCTCAGCTCCAGCTGTTGCAGTCACTTGGGGAGTGAATCATCGGATGGAAGATCTTCCTCTCTGTCTCTCTTCCTCTCTGTATATCTAACTTTCCAATAAAAATAAATAAATCTTTAAAAAAAAACATAGAAATTAAACCACATGCTGCTGCCCAGTCAGTAAATCCTTTTTGCCACTGTTTTTTGTTTGCTTTTATTGGAAAGGTGGACTTACAGAGAAGGAGAGACAGAAGGAAAGATCTTCCATCTGCTATTTTATTCTTCAAGTGGTCACAATGGCCAGAGCTAAGCTGATTCAAAGCCAGGAACTTCTTTCAGATCTCCACATGCAAGTGCAGGGACCCAAGACACTGGGCTGTCTGCTGCTGCTGCTTTCCCAGGCCACAAGCAAGGATCTGGATGAGAAGTGGAGTAGATGGGATGTGAACTGGCGTCCATGTGGGACCCTTGTGCATGTAAGGTGAGGATTAGCCACTGAGGTAGCACGCTGTGCTCTCTCACTACTCTTAACAGGTGACTGAGAGTGCTACCCAGAGCAATTTAATGAGAAAGAAATTCAAACATTTAATTTGAAAAATAAGTCATCAAATTGCCCCTGCTTGCAGTTGACTTGATCCTATTTATAGAAAAACCAAAACCTTTATCCATTCCCCTCAAAAAAAAAAAACTATGAAAACAGATAAAATGTTCATTTTTGACAAAGATCTTCCATTTACTGATTCATTTCCAAAATCCCCACTGGACCAGGTCAAAACTAGAAGCAGTGATCTTCCATTTGAGTGACAAGCTAAGCTAACATCTGCTGCCTCCTGGCAGAAAGCTGGAATTAGGAGCAAAGCTGAGACCCAGACCCAGGCACTGATATTGAATGTGGGCATTCCAAACAGCATCTTTGTGTACCTGTGATTTACATTTTGTGTATCAAACACATGGTTTGTATATAATGTCCATATAGAAGCACTCAATGCATCTAAAAACCCATCTGCATTCTACTTGGCAGTTGTCTTGCAAGCTCATACAATATGTGCATTCATATATTGTTAAATATTCAAGTTACCCAACATTTATGATCACTGTGGCTTAAGATCCTAGCTGTAAAACCACCGCCATACATCATTCCCATAGTCAAATACATTCAACCTCCTGTACTCCTTGCTGAGTCTTGGTGATGGATTTAGCGGTGAGTGAACACCCATAGCCCCAAAGTCCATGAGCTATGCTGTTGGTAGCAGGTGAATGTACACAGGGGGTTGTAAGCTGGGGAAGTCTTGGGTCTGAGCCCAGGGCTACACAAGACCCATGCTGTTTTCTACCACAAGTGTCTGATCTCAAGGATGTCAGTTAGCTTTCCTATCTCGGTTTTTCATCTATAAAATGTGGTTATTACTATCTGCAGGATTCTGAAAATAAAATGGATAGTTGGTGTGTAGGAGAGTTGAACACCACACAACAGTACCCACTTACTAAGAGGGCAGCAGGGAAGGAACAGCCTCTGCTTCAGACTTCAGCTCTGCTCATAGCCAGAGCTTGAATGTCTTTGAGGAGACTCAACTTTTGGTCATGGGCTCTTTGAAGGTGGATCAATGAGAAACCATGAGCCTCTCTATCCATGGGCTCTTTGTTTACATGATGTCCTACTGTTACATGGGAAAATCATGGAGTAACACATAGACTGGTTTTGTTCTCAAGATGCTTCAGTTTCAATGGCTTTTCAAATCAGGGATTATGCAAAAAGACAAATCCTAGCAGGTGACATCATTAGCTGAGACACCTGCATCCCATTCCCATGTGCCTGGTTTCGAGTCTGAGCTCAGGCTCCTGACAGCACCTCCTTGCTAATGCACCCTGGTAGGTAGCAGGGAAGGCTCCAATAGTTAAGGTCCCTGCTACCCTGTAGGAGACCTGCATTGAGTTTGCAGCTCCTGGCTTCTGCCTGGCCCAGCCCTAGCCACTGCAGGCATACAGGAGAGTAAACCAGTTGATGGAAGTTATCTCTTTGTTTCTCTCTTGAATAAACAAAAAAAGGAGAAATTAACCAGCTGGGTTCTTTTCAATGCTATCTGTTCTTGGTTCTTTCCCAATGGAAATTTTTAAGGAAACCCAAGAATTGAAACTTCCCTGTCTGAAACAAACCAGAGGAAAGTTTCCCTCATGTAATCTCGGCTTACCAGCTTAAGCAGCACTTCGAGATTCAGGTTGTTTGAGTTGAGACTGGATGCCATGTCCTGAGACATGTCTTCTGCAATAGCTCTACCCTGGGGAAGAAAAGGAGACCTTGCTTACTTGAAGGTAAGCCTTGAGACCCTGCTTTTGGCCTTGATCACTCTTTGGTTGACAAATATAATCTCCCTCTGAAATCAAGATTTGTATTTCTCCTCCCCAAGCTGAGTGTTTAGTGTCTTTCAAACTTGGTTATCCCGGAGAAGCCAAAGCCTTGGAGGTTGCCTTTCCTAAGAGGCAGCCATTGCTCCCAGGCAGCCCCAGGCACACGCCTCCCTCTGAGCTCCCCTCCTCCACTTCGGGCACAAAGGTTATCTCAGGATGCAGATGCCAGTAAGAGAGGCTCAGAATATCTTGTGGCACCACCCCTTTACTCACCTAGTGGAAATGTGTTACCGACAATTCACACTTTCCAGACCTGTTTCCACATTTAAATGTGGCTCATTCTTTCTTCACTTGACCTCCTTAGAAATGAGTGCATGAGGGGCAACATTGTGGTATAGTCACATTAAAATCACCACCTGTAGCAGCAGAATCCTATACTCCAGCCTGAGTTCTGGCCATTCCACTTCCAATCCAGCTGTCTGCTAGTGGCCTGAGAAAGCAGCAGGGGATGACTCAGGTGCTTGAGTCCCTGCCACCCAGCTGGGAAACCTGGATGAGGCTGCTGGTTTCTGGCCTTGGACTGGCCTAACCCCTGTCATTGTAGCCACATGGGGAGTAGGAGATCTAACGCTCCTTTCCGAATTAAGCAATTAATAAAATACAAACTGATCTTTGAGGATAGGATATTGATGAACCTAATCAGCTTCTCTTGCTTTTTACTGTACACTTGGATCCCGAATTTGGAGTAAGATGCTGTCCTTTCTGGTTTCTGTTACAGGGAAAGCAGCCAGAAGCAGAATCAGAGTATTTTCCTCAGTTTGAGGTTCATGGACCTTTGCCATGGCTCTGTCCAGGCCCTACCTGGCAGAGCGACCCTGAGAAATAAGCGTGCAGAGGGTGCGGGCACAGACAGGCAGGCGCTGAATGTTCCAGAGTCAGCCCAGCTGCCGCAGGCTGTGCTGCCAGCACTAGAGGCCAGAAATAGGGGTGACAATGACAGGTGGAGCTCAGCAAAGACATGGCTGTGGTCAAGACCCATGGCCATGGTTGACAGAATCAGTGTAAATACAGGGAAAGCCAAAAGAACTACTGATGAGGCAGCAAGATGATCGCGATGGAAGGAGGAGGGGAAAGATAAATGATTGATAGGAAACAGATGACTGACAGATGCACAGACAGCATAGTCTTGATATGACAGATAAGCTGTGTTGCCCAGAGGCTGCAGTGTCAGCTCCTCCCGAGTCCAGGTTGCTCTGCCTCTGATCCACCTCCCACAATGCATCAGGTACTTGGGCTCCTGCCATTCTACCAGGAGACCTGAATGAAGTTTAGGCTCCTGGCTTAGACCTAACCCAATCCCAGCAGTGTGGCCATTCATTGGATAGTGAATCCTCAAATGGAAGATCTCTTTCTTTCTCTGTCACCCTGCCTTTCAAGTTAACAAATGTCTAAAGGCGAGCAAATAAAAAGACGCAGTTATCCTAAGCTGGACATTTAGTGTAGCAGTTCAGGAAGTGCTAGGGTGCTTGGTTCTAGTCCCAGTGTGGCTTCCAACCCAGCTTCTGGCTAATGTGTACCCTGTGAGACAGCGGAAGGTGACTCAAGTACTTTGATCCCTGTCACCCCTGGGGCAGACCAGGATGGAGGTCCTGACTCCTGGCTCTGGCCTAGCCCAGCCCTAGCCAATGCAAGCATTTAGGGGATTAAAGAAGCAGATGGAAGAGAGCTCTCTTGCTCTTTCAAATACAAATGAAATTATTATTTTTTTAATTAAAAGTTGCTCCAGAGGAGCTATTAACTTTACACTCCAGTTTTAAACCCTAAACTATATAGCAAGTCAGTTTCTCTATTTTAAAGAAAAGATTTATTTATTTTTATTGCAAAGTCAGATATACAGAGAGGAGGAGAGACAGAGAGGAAGATCTTTCATTCACTGGTTCACTCCCCAGGTGACTACAACAGCCATAGCTGAACCAATCTGAAGCCAGGAGCCAGGAGCTTCTTATGGATCTCCCACATGGGTGCAGAGTCCCAAGGCTTTGAGCTGTTGCCTGCTGCATTCCCAGGCCACAAGCAGGGAGCTGGATTGGAAGTGGAATGGCCAGGATACATATGGGTTCCTGGATTTGTGCAAGGTAAGGACTTTAGCCACGAGACTACCATGCCAACCCCTCAACTTTTTCTTAATTCAGCCCTTAGTTTCAAGCTATGATTTTTCCGTCTGCAGGTTCACAAATGTGTTTTATGGGCACCATGCACAGGCTCTCAATCACTAAATAGAAGAAACAAATGAGATTCTTTGTTGAGATTTTTTTTTCTTTTTGTTGCAATGTTTATTTCCTTGCACATTTATTTCAAGGACCAGCTTCTTGGCATGTGTAGTAACATCACATCTGGGTAGTAACATCTGGCATTACATGGGTACCAGTTTGAGTCCTGGTTGTCCCACTTCCGCTCCTTCTACCTGCTAATACTCTGGGAGAAGAAGAAAAAGGATGGGGCGTTTAGGGGAAGGTGTGTGTGTTTGGGCCCCTAAACCAACACAGGAGACCGAGAGAAAGCTCCTGGCTCAGTCTGGCTCATCTCTGGCTGTTGTGATCATCTAGGGATTAAACCAGTGGGTAGAAGATCTGTCTCGAACAGCGTGGTAGCCTAGTGACTAAAGTCTTCACCTTGCACATACCCAGGAACCCATATGGGAACCAGTTCCATCCAGCTCCCTGCTTGTGGCCTAGGAAAGCAGCCCCAAAACCTTGGGACCCTGCACACATGTGCAAGACCCAGAAAAAGCTCCGGGCTCCTGGCTTCGGATTGGCCATTGGAGCCACTTGGGGAGGGAACCAGTGAACAGATCTTCTCTCTCTCCTCTCTGTAAACCTGACTTTCCAATAAAAATAAAATTTAAAAAGAAAATTATTTTTTAAAATCTGTATCTGTAATTCTGTCTTCCAACAAATAATTAAAAAAAAATTTTTTTCCCAACAAATAATTAAAAAAAAATTTTTTTAAACCAGCAGCTTTCTTAGGGACAGAAAATAGTTCTAAAATGACATTTATCCTTATATAGCTCCTTCAGTGATGACACAGGTCTTAGGATTTTCTGAATCCTGATTATGTCATATAGCCAAGATTGTGAGGATTCTGAATATAGCACTAGAAAATTCATTTTCACCTGAAGAACTAGCTTCCAACTTAGTTTTGTTCTTTTACAAATTTGAATCTCCACTATGAAAAAAAAAAAAAAAAAGAATTGTTGTTAGGTTCACACGCTCTCTTCTCTCCCCAAGGTGTCTTGGGCTGTATTTACATTACTTGCAGGCTTAAAAAGTAGCCAAGCAAGATACACATTTCCAACTCTTTCTCCACAACCAAGCAAGTGTACTACAATAAACGTGGGGGCTTTTAATGTTTATTTGTGAGTCAGTGGTGCAGGCGGAGCTGGGAGAGAGAAGTAGAGACAGCTGTTTCCAGTTAGCTCATTCACCGATACTCACCACGGCCTGACGGAGCTGGGCTGAGTGTGAGAATGAGTAGCTCAAGCCAGGTCTCCTACATGGTAAGAATCCAACCACTGCAAGCATCACCTGTTGCCTCGCGGGCTCTACATGAGCAGGAAGCTGGAGTCAGGAGCTGGAGGTGGGCTTCAAACCCAGGTACTCCAATATGGACACAGGTGTTACAGTCGGGTGCTTAACTGCTCATCCAGACACCCACCCCAGCTTACACGTTTAGGTGGCTTAAATGTTGCTCATACTATGAAACCACAAACAGCTCTCTTTAAAAAGTCATAGGTCATGAAAACAAAGTTCTTACTGGCAAACTGAAACTTTCTAAGTATTCTAGCATTGTTGTTTGTCTATTTGTTCGGAGCATGTGTCTAACTACAGTGAAGCCACAACATTAAAAAATGCAACGGCAACTTTACCTTCATCAATAAATCGAAGGCTGTCTTTGAGTCATGTTTTGCCAGAATGACATTTCCTTCAGAATCTTCACTCTTCTTTTCACATTTCTTTAGCAGAAAACAGGATAAAAATTCCAGAGCGTTGCCCTGAAAAAATATCCCATCACCAAAAACATGTCTCTTTAGAACAGTCTTCTGAGACTTAGGTCATCAAAAGTGCAGCAAAAAAAAAAACCCCAAAATTGTAATGCAGCTGTCCCCACTTTTCCACATCTAATAAAGTAGCGATAATTCAATTAGAATCAATAAAAGGGATGGTCAAGCACATATTCCATTTACTACACATATCCTGGCCCTCAACATGTCACAATTCAGCTGGATGCTAAAATTCAACTGTGATTTTCGGCCCCTAAAGTTCATGTGATAGAAACTCCAAGGTAGATAGTCTCCCAGGTAGCCATCTTAAGCGGTCATTGGGGGTTGCCTTTGAAAGGGGTTAAGGCAATTAGTTCTCCTGAGCAGGTTACTGCAGAAGGCACAGGTCTATTTTCTGCCTCCAAAACTGATCCAAATAAAGTTGCTTTATGAGTATCAGCCTCAACTATTTCATTAAGGTGATGAGAAACAGGCCAACACAGAGGCCAACATCCCAGGAGAGGGTCTCCCAAGATCCTCAGTACAAAAATGGGTTGTTGGGCCCAGTGGTATGACCTAGCAGCTAAAGTCCTCACCTTGAACGTGCCGAGATCCCATATGGGCACCGGTTCTAATCCCAGCAGCTCCACTTCCCATCCAGCTCCCTGCTTGTGACCTGGGAAAGCAGTCGAGGATGGCCCAATGCTTTGGGATCCTGGACCCGTGTGGGAGACCTGGAGGAAGTTCCTGGCTCCTGGCTCCGGATCACACCGGCTGTTGCACTCACTTGGGGAGTGAATCATTGGACAGAAGATCTTCCTCTCTGTGTCTCCTCCTCTCTGTATGTCTGACTTTGTAATAAAACAAATCTTTTAAAAAAAATGCTTGCACCACAAGCCCTTGGCTAAATGAGGAATGCGGACAGGGAAGGATCTTATCTCTTAGGAGAAAGAAGTGGATCTGGGAGAGGAGCTACAGCACCAGAATTCCAGGCAAAATAGCCGGAGGCCCTCTACTTTGCTCCCTCTCATGTTTTAATGGATTAAGCACCATCAAAATTCTATTTTTCATTTTTTTTAATTGGGTGGGAGTAAGGACACTAAGCCTATACTAAACACATTTAGCAACATGTAACTGTTTTGGGGAGAAAGTACAGAGTTCTTGTTGTGAACATCCCTACTCGTTTTATCAGCCAAGTTTGCCAAGGCTTGAAGGCCACTGAGAAACAGCAATTTATGGTGAAGCATGACAACTTAAATGGCACAGAGAACAGCTAAGCCTATGGATGTCTGGTGTTGGCCCAAGAAGCGAGGCTGAAGCTGAAGCAGACAACAACGAAGGGGAAAGACGGGGAAAGAGAGGTAGACAAAGAGAATGCACATGCAATGAATGTTAACTCCCTCAAATAGAATTACTGCGGTGAAAGAAGGGGTTTGAAGATCTTCCCTTGGAAAACTAAAGGCTTCTTATAGTATTAAATTTGGAAAATAGTTTGGATATTCCTCTAAAACCCGTGTACTAGGAGCTTTTCCCCCAAAGTTGAATGCCAAGAGTTAACAGTTTAAAGATGGAGATTTGATCTAAAATGACATGTGAAAGGTGGGCTGTCCCCATGGGAGGGCAAAGTCACTGGGGTGTGCCCACAGAAGGCAGTTCTTAGGAGAGGGTCAATCATAGAACCAACTTGGGTCTAGATGCCCAGCGTGCTTTTTGGTTTTTCAAGCGGTCATTCTTCCATCTTCCAACCTCTCAGGTACCAAACAGGGCTGCCTGATTTCACACTGGAACCATTTCAAACCGGGAGCCAAAAATGAACCTTGCCAGGAGGTTGCCCTTAGGTATTGAGTGAGGACAATCCAACACACAAAGCATGGTATGTTACCATCTGCATCCTCTTCCAAGCTTGCCCAAGATGAACAGCTGCAGATCTCATTCTCCTATGCCTGTCCATCATCTTTGGAACTAGGAACGTGGCTCCACTGAATGCCCTTTCGTCACTGTTTCTGACATCATGTTCTGGGATGGCATCCGAGGTTCATTCCTGATGAATATGCTTCACGGAGTTTCTCAAGAAAACACCTGTGCCCCAAGTGCTGATCATCTTCTATTGTTGTGTGGTCTTTGCCCTTTCTCTGTCACCTAGCCCTTTTTATAGTTGGACATTACCTTTTTCCCCCTCAAACCAATTATTGCTTTCATGGTTGAATAATGTTTACATTTAAAAAAATGGAGGTCCTGGAGTTTTTTAAAGCAGGTACTTCCAGCTGAAAACAGAAAGCACAATGTTCCAAACTATAAATCAAGATTTTCCTACTTGTCTGTTTTGTATATTGGCTATGAGGGTATTTCAAAAAATGAATGGAAAAGTGGAATGAAACAATTATATCCTAGTGCCAAACATTTTTTTTAATCCACACATAGTTTTTCATGAACATTTAAAACCTCTTTGCAGTATAGCTTGGGTGTAGTCTTTCAATGGCTCTTTTTATAAATGGATATAATATCTACGAAAAAAAAAAACCATCTCTCCCTCACAGCAATAAACTGGCAAAAATATGCCAGGTACGAGCTTATGTAACTGTTAGCCTTTGAGTCTGCTTTCTTCAAAGCAACACTTACAGAGTCTGCTTTTGACAGCTCCATCAGCCCCTCCGTCAGAGCACTCGCAACTTCTTGGTTGTTCAGAATGTTGGTCAGGCTCATGGTGTCATACATAAATTGCCCTGTGTTTAGAAAGCCATATGCCTAGGCATTAATTTAATTATAGGAGTTTTCAGATTTGCTTTTTTGGTTCTCAGCTTTGCTTTCCAGTGGATACAAATACAAAAAAGCTGGGGGTGGTGTATAAACTATCATCAATCTGTGGAGATTTCTACTAGGGAAAATGTATAAAATGGTACAACACAAGTTAAGTATGCCACATAAAGCATATAATCCCACAAATATACTCAGGTAAAACAACAGCATGCATTCCACATGGACACCTGTTTGAGTCCCATTTCTCTTCTGATCCAGTTCCCTGCTAATGCACCTATGAAAGTGGTAGAAGATGGCCCAAGTACCTGAACACCTGCCACTCATGTTGGAGACCTGGAAGAAGCTTTTGGCTTTGGCCTGGCCCAGCACTGGCTGTTGCAGCCAGCTGGGTAGTGAGCCAGCAGATCTCTTTCTCTCCCTCTGTAACTCAGTATTTCAAACAAATCATCTTTTAAAAAGAAGAGACATTTTTTCAGTCCACAGGAAATATACTACAATATGAATACACAGACATCTTCTGGTGTCTTAAATATTCCAGGCACTATGTATTTATCTGAAACCATTCAGTTTCCATTAATATTCAATTGCCTATATGTATCATAGGAAAACCTCTGTCTTTGAAGAGTTTACTGTTCCACTCTTCTCCATAGTCCTTGATAGCTGTGAAATAGCCAGTAGAAATAATTTCTTCCTGTCGATAATATTGTGAGTGTTTTCCAATATGGGTTGACTATCTCTTCAATGTGGTAGAGGAGGGTAGTACAAAAAAATTAAATACAAAAGAAAAAAACCCTTGTTTGGGAGGCATTTATGTAAAGAGATATGACATACATGGGCAGATGAGAGCTCTATGCACATTGTGAAAGACAGATTTTTAAAGGGGGCAAGGGAGTAGGAGAGAGGCGAGGCATGGACACACGAATAAAATGACAGAAGACATTGGGACTAGTCAGATGGGATATACACTGGGGGTGGGGAATGAAGAGGTAATTACAGCTGGGGAGAAATTCCACTGTGTACCTAGATGGTGGGAAATACTGAATCGGAAATAGACTGATTTCAGTGAAGATCTAAAGTTGAGATCTTGCACTGCTTCCAAAAGGTTCCATTGGAAAGATGCAAACTTGGGGAGAAAAAAATCAGTGATGTCCACAGGAGTCAGCAAAGGACTCCCAAGTCCATCATCAAATCCAGCATTTTCGATGGAAAATTCATAGAGCTTAAGCTGTAGAGCACTTTGGAGAATGGGTGTTGTGGTATATACGACTGTAGTGTGAAAAGGGCATTGCCTTCTGGGTTAGCAAACAGCAACTTTTCTCTAAGCTTGTAATTAATTGATATGGACATCCAGGCATTAATAAGATGGATTTTTTTCTCACTTTTCTGAGAGAGAGAGAGAGAGAAGCCATACATATGAACATGAGTAAGCTCCCACATCCACAGGGTCACTCCCATGAAGTCCTGCAACACTTTGGGCTTGGCCAAAGCAAGAAGCCAAAAACAATCCAGATCTCCCACATCGTGGTGGAGACTAGTTAGTTGGACCAGGCCCTGCCGCTCTCCAGGGCCTGCATGAGCACGAAGCTGGAATCAGGAGCCAGCCCGGAATAACAAAACCGGGATCTCTGGTGCAGGACTTGGGGGTCCTAGCCACCATCTTCACTGCCAGGTTAACTGCCCACCTGGATGGCAAAAATCTAAGCCAACAAATAAAGCAGCTCTGCCTTCTGATCATAGACACTCTTATTCTGAGTGGATATTCCCCACATTTGACAAAAAGTGTGGGAAACATAAGGGTTAAGTTAAGGTACACATTGGCTGAAGTGCACTTTTTCAAGTCTAGGTTCCTAGTCACTTGCCAGAGGCAAGTTTCTCACCGATCATCCTGCCACTGACGCTCTTCCGCAGCTCCTTGAATAGAGGACTTAACTGTTTCCTCACGGCTCTCAAGGTGTCTTCCAGGGAGCCGGCGAAGTGGGCCCATAGCTGCAGCTTGGCTTCATTGAAGTAGATGGCAGGGGGCATCCTTTCCCACGGCGCTCCCAGCCACTCACTGAGAACTGACATCATTTTCCCCTTAGCATTGCAGACCAGCACTTAGAGGAAAGAGCTACTTATTAGAGTACAACAGAAACTTAGCATTTGTTGAAGTTTACCTTCCTTGGAGGACTAAAATAAACACCTGTGCTCTGCTTCCAAACTGTAAAATTAGCATCTTTAAAAGGACGCAACAAACTTTTCAAATAACTACATACTCTTAGACAAGGCTGACGTACTGGTGTTTAACACAAGAAAATTAGCAGCTAGCACCATGACTTAGAAGACAGCCTCTGGCTGCATTGCCAGCATCCCATATGGGCATGGGTTCATGTCCAAGCTGCTCTACTTCCAACTCAAGTCTGCTTATGTCCTGGAAAAGCAGCAGAGGATGGTTCAAGTTCTCAAGTCCCTGCATCCACACGGGAGAACTGGAGGCAGCTCCCTGCCTCTGGCTCCAGATCATCTCAGCTGTGGCCATCGTGGCCCTTTGGAGAGTGAACCAATGAATGGAAGAGCTTTCTGTCTCTCCTCTCTGCAAATCTGCTTCTCAAACAAAAATAAATTTTCTTAAAAATAAAAAAATGAAATAGCTGTTCAGTTTATTCCAGGAAGTAGAGCAGTCTTAGGGGTAAGAACATGCTCCATGCCTTACCTTCTTTTCAAACACTGTTGATTTGAGAGGCAGAGAGACAAGAAGAGTTCCTATCTGCTGGCTCCCTGCTCAAACACTCACAACAGGCGAGAGCCAAGGCTGGGCTGGAGCGGTACTCAAGAGCAGAAACTCAAGGCATTGAAGAACTTGAGCTAGCAGCTCTGCCTCTTGGGATAAGCATTAGCCAAGAGGTTGGTGCTAAAAGTCAGTGCCAGGGATGGAAGTCAAGTATGAGATGATCTGACATGAGATGCAGGTGTCTTAATTCCTGGGCAAACTCCCATTCCTGCTTTATCTTTTTATTCTAAAAGTAGAATTTGTTTTAAAATCCCCTAAGAAGCAGTGTATTTCCTGTACTTGTGTTTTAGTGATTATGGCATAGGCATGAGTTACTGAGCATATGGGTAAAATCCAAGTGAACTTACTGTGTTGGTAAGAGCCAGTTGCAATCCCAGTGGGGGCAGTAAAGAATGTGCCAGTCAGTTGAGACAGCTGAGCAAGAACTTCATTTCCCATCTCTGCAGAGTCAAAAATACTTGCAATAGTTTACTCACAAGGTGAGCCATGAACAGTTCAACATCACACAAGAGCACCATGGAGTTGGCTAAGAAACATCACACACAGGTGGCTGTCATCTCCAATTCATTTACAAACTGCTAGTGGAAGTGTGAAATGCTACAACTGCTATGGTAAACAGTTCAGGAAAAAAAATTAAACATACACCTATCATAAGACCTAGGCATTCTACTCTTGGACACTTTCCCAAGAGAAATAAATGCATAAATTCACAGTTAGGTTCACTGCAGACTTATTCATAAAAGATAGAAACTAGAGAGTATCCAAATAAATTGACAAAATAGAGTCTATCCTCACAGCCACAGAACAGTCCTTCTAATACAGGAATCAAATGGATGAATCACAAGACTCTACTCTAACTACAGAAATCAGACAAGAAAAGAACTCCATTTTTAACATGGTAGAAAATGCAATTTGACATAGTGAAGGTAAAACAGCAATCTCAGGTCGGCAGTGAAGAGAAGCAGGAGAGAAAAGTGATACAGAGCCAAGAAGAAACTTTTGGAAATGACAAATACGTTCATTTTCTTAATTGCTTTATGCTTTTTCAAGATACTTACATTAAAATTTGATCATTTAAAAAATGCATGGTTTCCTGTATGCCAATCATACCTTGATGGAGCTGTTTAAATTGTTTTAAATAAAAACAAAAGGATGAGTTTTAGATTTTTGGTTCATGCTGGAACTAAGTGAATAATGCCATTGTTGTTGAGGAAAAAGTTGGTTTGATGTTGGAGAGAAAGTTAGGTATCTTTGCTTTAAAATGTTTATCAGACATGCAAATTAAGCATTCAAATGAAGATGTCCAATGGAGTTTCACAAAGTCTGCAGCTCTGGTTTCAGAGGTAGAGACAGAGAGGCGGGCGAAAGTTAGTCCTAGGCACATTGAGAAGGTCAAGCGGACAGTGTGCAGGTGGGAAAGGCGAGCATGCACATCAGGGTCTTGGGGCCTCGCCGAGTAAAAAGACAGTCACAGGAGCTGAAAAGGGGCCCTGGGGTAGGAGGAGACCAACAGAGCATGTGCCGGAGAGAGGGAGTGTTTATCTGCATCAGCAGCCTCTGAAATGTCACACAAGGTCGGAGGCAGGGAAATGAGACTGCTGTGCCTGAGCACTAGAAGTCACACCCACTCTCAGTGACAACAGAAATGTCCCATGAAGCCTCCCCTGAAGACGTATGGGCAGCGAGGAAGGCAGAGGCCATCGGGACAGAGCAGGGTTCTCCACGTGTGGGCAACACCTGGGAGCCTTCGCATCACCTTCAAACTCCCTAACAAGGAAGGTTCTGCAGCCCCTCCCTTCAAGCAACCAGGAGCTCCGGGGAAAAGACCGGCAAGGGTGTGTTGCCACAGCCTCGCAGGAAATCCAAATACAGATCAAAGCCCTGGAAGCATGGGTCTGACCAACTTGCTTCGTTTGAGGGAAAGATCACTGATATCCTTACACAGAGATAGTTATCATATATATGTCATGCATATTTGTACATATGAACAGGTGATCCTACTGATGCACATGATTTTATAGAATTGATCCAGCTGGGAGAAGATGAGATTATTTGTTCACATTTTAAATCTGCATAGTTTGTTGTGTATCAACTATTGCCTCAATAAAGCCACTTAAACATTTTTAGAAAAATCCTCCCCTCCCAAATCCAGATGAGTCTTAGGTTCTTGGTTTATGCCAAAGAGGATTTGAGCATAGGCATGAAGTTTGAAGTGAAAAGTGATGGGAAACAGAATCAAATAAAATAGCTGTGCTTTGAGCAGGAGCAGTTCCTCCATTGAACAGAAGGAAGATAGAGTAACAGTAAGGGAGGCATCAAGTTTTCCAAAGGAAATAGAATTCCTACTGCTGGGTCTTCCCACTGATGTCCACATGCGTGTAGACACGTAGAGGTGACGCTCCAATCACCATTCCAGGCTTTCCTTCCCTGAACACCCGGGAGTGTGACAAAGAGCCAAACACAACGGAATGATTTGACACACTCAGAAAATGTCGTCATTTGAGAATGTTAGATTCGCAGGATAATGTAGTGTAGGCAGGACCATGCGCTCTCCACCGTGACTCCAGATCTGACCTGATGCTCCAAGTGGCACGAACAAGTCTACATGTCCGCCTTCCTCTTCAGTGGCCACATAGCTTCCTAATTTCTCCCAGAAGTCTCTCACTTCAGGCTTCAGCAAGTTTTTAACGCCAATTTTATAGCCTGAAGTGGCAGAGGAAAAGGAGGAAGCAAAATGTCATTACCAGTGTCCTGATCATAAGCTCTGAGCAATTTGTGCAATCACCACTACAAAATCAAGTCAACATACACCTGTAACACCAAAATTTCAGGATGCGTCTGTCTAATGCTGTACCATGTCAGGGCCACAGATGATGCCCTTGGAACCATCATGTTCTACATTAATTGGACACTGTGGATTTAGGCTTAAGATAATGTGTCTCGGGCCCAGCATGATTGCCTAGTGGCCAAATCTTCACCTTGCATGCCCTAGGATCCCATACTGGCACCAGTTTTGTCCCAGCTGCTCCACTTCCCATACAACTCCCTGCTTGTAGCCTGGGAAAGTAGCCAAGGATAGGCCAAAGCCTTAGGAACCTACACCCACATGGGACACCCAGAAGAGGCTCCTGGGTCCTGGCTTTAGATCATTTCAGCTGTGGCCATCTGGAGTGTGAATCAGTGGATGGAAGATCTTGATCTCTCCTTTTCTCTGTGGATCTGATTTTTCCAGTAGAAATGAATAAATCTTAACGGAGAGAGAGAGAGAGAGAGAAGGGGAGGAAACATTAAGTAGTTTGGAGCACAAATAAGGCTCCCAGAGGTGGCGACTCTTGCTACTATGCCCCTTTGCTCCTACCTCTTGGCATTCTGTGTGTGGATTACACCCAGCTGCACGGATCTGCATCCCAAGGCCCAGTTAAGAGAAAGGAAGCAAGCACAAGGACTCCAACGTCCGGCTCCCTGCCCAGAGAGCTCTACACAGGAAAGGACTTCTTCCGGTGATGCGCTTTTCCAAGGTAAAAGCTTTCGGGAAAACACTGCAACTGTACAGAAGGAAGTCAGTTCTTTCAGCTATTTTACGACCATGAGCATTACATAAGGAAGAATTTGGAAACTTTTCTCATCTGGTGGACAGCAAGGCTGAAGTTGGGAAACTAATAATCCTCTCCACCTAAGCCACAGTGACTACTGCGGTATAAACATGCAATGTGCACCATTCAAAAGAGTTACCGTGCAATCCATTATAAACTTAACCCGCACACAGTCAGCATCTGTGCTTTCCTCTGGGGAGATATGTAAAACTGAACATGGAACAGTTAGCTCCAGGATTGGGTATGCTACACAAGGAAAGCCAAAAATAAAGCTTTATTTTAAAATACATTTGTTTCTGCCAATAATGCAATTCACAGAAAGCATCCCAAGTGCTGGCCTTTCTTTGCAAAGAGAGCAGCTTGACAGGTGAATTGGGACTCACTCTGCCATTCTGTGGGTTCCCTGTTGGCTTGAGCCCAGGTTGTCTATTTCCTCTCTTCTTTGAACCCACAATGACGGAAGATTTCACGTAAGTGAATATCAATTAGAGTTCAGGTAAGAGCAAAGAGCACTGCAAGTTACTGATAAGGAAGAAGAGGATCTGGAAATGTAATTTTGAAACACTATCTCCTCCTTCAAAACACACACACACACACACACACACACACACACACACACACACACACACACACACACACAACCACCAAGGTTGGTGAAAGCTACTCTGACAAGTGAATCATCTCAGCCATTCCTTTCCTTTGTGATATAAACCAGTGTGAGCGCAACTGATGCCGTCAGTGCCTCCCAACTGACTGACCTTGGCATTTGCTACTCTTAAAATTGTTTCACTTTCCTCATAAAAGTTGTCTGCATTGGGGGCCACAACAGCAAAAAGGACACCTATGAAATGACAGGAACTCGTGTTTGTGAGACAGAAAGCCGTGTGTCTGATAAGGAGGAAAGACCAAGAAAATATAAAGAAATGTCGTAATTAAACCTATGGAAAAACCAAGAATCTAATTTTTTTTTTAATGAACAAGGTATTTTTAAAAAAGATTTCGTTTTTAAATTTTTACTTGGAAGGCAGAATTACAGAGAGAGAGGGAGATCTTCCATATGCCAATTTACTCCCACAAATGGCCACTATGGCCAGAGCTAAGTCAATCCGAAGCAAGCAGGCAGAAGCTTCTTCTGGGTATCCCATGTAGGTGCAAGGGCCCAAGGACTTGAGCCATCCTCTGCTGCTTTTCCAGGCCATAAGCAGGGAGCTGGATCAGAAGAGGAGCAACTGGAACTTGATCCAGCACCTACATGGGATGCCAGCACATCAGGAAGAAGATCAGCCTACTATGCCATGGTGTTGGACCCTAAACAAGGGAACAAACCTTTTTTTTTTTTAAAAGAGCTACAAATAACCAACAAAGAAATATGATATTCAGTGCCACCCATATATATTAAAAAATGTAAGTCAAAAACCACAGTGTGCTATCGTCTCGTCTCTACTAGGATGGTTATTATAATCACACACAAAGAAAATCGTAAGTGTTAGCAAGGATGTAGAAAAATCAGAATCCTTCTGTATAATTGGTGTAACAGCTGTGGGAAACAGTGAGGAGGTTTCTCAAGAAACTGAAAGTCGAATTACTAATTATGACTTATGATTTATTATGATTTACTGATTATGATTTACTTATTATGATTACTTATTATGATTTAGCAAATCCTATTTCTGGGCATCTATCAGAAAATACTGAAAGCAGGATCTCAAAGAGGTCATTTTCAAACCCAGTGTTACAGGCAGCACTACCCACAACATCCCAAAGGGAGAGCTGATAGAAGGATTTATCAATGGTTGAATGGATAGACTAGACGTGGTGCACAACACACACCAAAATATTACTGCTTTTTAAAATGAAGATAACCTGGTCAATGCTATAAAAAAAAATGTGAGTGGACCCTGAGGACTATAATACTGGGTGGAATAAGCCAGTCGCAAGCGCAAAAAACTCCATGTTATTCCATTCATTCGAGAAACATGACATACTCAAATCCACAGAAACACAAAGTAAAATGATGGTTGACATGGGCTGGGGAGGGGAAAAAGGAGAGCTACTAGTTAATAACCATGTAGAGGCAGTTTTGCAAAATGAGAATGTTCTGGGGAGTGATTCACAACAATGTAAATAACTTCCATGATAGTGAGCTGCACAGTTAAAGGGCCCAAACAGTGACTGCTCAGCATTTCTGAATCTAAGTAGAAACACGCACCAAAAGCTTGGCAACCTTTCCTCATGAGGACCAAGCCAACACTTACCAAACTGGAACTGAAACAGCAGTCAGTGTGAAAGGCCAACACCTTACAAAGCTGCTCGGCTCTTCTTGGCCAATTCCCGGGCCTACCTTGGAGCAAGTGGATTTCTCTGCTATCTCCATCACTGAAGACACCCAGGCTCTGGGCCTTCCGTCCATCCAGAGCCTTCTCCACAAGATAAAGCAGGCCCTCCAAAGTGATGCCGCTGTGCTCAAACACCACGGAAACGACAGCTGCCTTCACACTCTCCACCACCATCTAGAAAACCAAACCAAACCCAAGCAACTGAGGCCCACCCATTTAGAGTGCGTCCTATGCAACGAAATACATTACATTGTGATTTCTAAAGAATTTTTGTAAAGATTATGAAAGGAAGATGCACTGTTTTCTTTGGTTCCTTTTTAAGTTATTTTGTCTAATTATAGGAGAAAATTTCATCAATCAGAAGTATGTATTATGAACAAGTTTTCTCCCAACCTTCTCATCTTTGTACACACTAAGCAGAGAGACATATGTGCAACTTCCAAAAAACAGTAAAATCAAGATTACACAACTTCACTGTGGACATAACAAACTTAAAATTTTCCTCTTAATTATGAATTTTTAAATTATCAACATTGATTGACAAATGTTTTCCATATAAGTAAATACTAAAACTACTATTTTTAAAAATTCTCCATAACAATTCACAGAATAGGACAGGCTGGAAGGTCTGTGAAGCCGATTTTTTCCAGAACCTTGGGTCTTACTCTGGAGGTCATAAATCAACTAAATAGAGAATTATCATGCTTGTGTCCTAATTCTTACCACAGCCCCATCAGAGACATAGTCAAGTAACTATATCATAACCTTAAATACAGTAAGCCAATAGAAGGATGGATCCAGGCAGTTCAATCGCCCACATTTGGTGACCAGCTATCCTGAGTGATGCATTTGTAAGCATTTGGGAAGCTGTCTGCAGTCCAGAGAGATCAAAGCTCTGACCCTGATGTCCTGCGTATCCTGTGAGTTTCCCAGTCATTGACCATTACAGGCAATTTCCAGATCCTGGGAAGTGATTTCCTTTCTTACCAATAGGAACTTCGGGAAAAGCTTCCTGTGTTGGCCAATGGACCACCTCCTGAATGTCATCCTCTACAAACACCTTGGAGTTATGTGAATGGATACTCCTTAAAATAATTCATAACTCATCATATCCTGATAAACCCACCCCCAGTTGAAAATACCATAAACAGAAAATGCATTGAATGTGCTTGACCTACAGAACATCATAGCTTGGCAACTCAGCACATCGTAGAATCGTTGTTTTCCTCACAATCACAGACCTAACTGGGAGCTGCTGTCCAGCATCCAGGAAGGACCAGCTCACACAGGGCCAGACCCAGTGCGAGAGTTCAAAACAGTGTTTCTACTAAAGTCAAAGAGTCATTCAAACCTTTCCAATTCTGAATACATACACATGTATGTGCTCATGTCTTTCAAACATATTTTCTACCTGTGTCTGTCATGCTTATTTTTCTAATATTCACAAATTAAAACATATAACTTCATCCTAGTGAGAGCACATTTCAATGGCATCCTCCTTCAATACATGACAAAATGGGATTTCTGGCTTTCTTCTTTAGAGTAGCAAGGTTTATGTAATACCAATATTCTTTGTGAATTCTATAGTATTGAAATACTTTTTTTAATTCCATGGTACTCTTGGATTCCATGCAACAAGTCCAATTCAACAAGAATTTACAGGACAAATGCTAAATGAATGGCAGTTTGGGCCTTCAATGCTTTCTCAGAATTATTTTTATTTATGGTCACCTTTATTGCTTCTGATTGCTAAGACTGCTTTGGGTCTGTAAATTTCCACTTGACCACATGATTTTCCTTTTAGGAGATGAATCATTTTCATACACATATGGTGAAAAGCTTGCCACAGACTCCTTAGATGGAAAAAAAAACCCGATTCAGGGAAGGGCTGATCTCATCACCCAGTCTGTACCTCGTATGCGGGAATCTGAGACGATATCAAAATAAAGTGTGGCTGGAGGGCAGATGAAGAGTCTTGGTCATCTCTGTGAACTCCCTGCCAATTTTTCTTTGATAATACAGGATAGGAATGGCTTCCAGAAACATTGCTTCTGAAGAGGAAAAGAAAAAGAAAACAGCAAATTTTTAATTTTCTCTGATTTTGATTTTTTTTCAAAAATTTAAATATATATTTATTTTATGTACTTGAGAAAAAGCCTATCTGGTGCTCTCTTTCCTCCAGATGCCTCCCACATTTGGGAAGGCTGACACTGGGAGCCTGGACTCCATCCAGGGTTTAAACATTTGAGATATCACCTGCTGTCTCCCCTGGGAGTGCATTAACTAGGAGCTGGAATCAGGAGTCGAGCTGAAATGCAGACCCAGGCCCTCTGATACCAAAGAGCATTGTAGCCACCATCCGCAGCACCTGCCCTGAGCTTGGCTTTTCAGTAACAGGTACCAACAACATGTCCTCGGGTATCAGCTATACTCCGCAAGCCCAGGGCCTCCGTGCCCAAGACCCTCCTTGATGATGGCAACAAATGGGGCTCCCACACCGAGTGAGCTAAATTCACCCTTTGGGTCTCTCAGGAGATGTTGAGACATAGGAGGGTCCACAGGTGATAGAGAAAGGAAATTGTGACTTTGAGGGGTTTCGGTTCTGGTGTTTAACAGTATGATGCTTGGATAAGCTATGTAACCTCATAGGCTCTCAGCTCCCTTATCTGATACATAAGTACGTGAGATTATATGAGCTGCAGATTCTAAAAGTCAAAAAAGTTACATTTGTAGAAAGTTTCACAAAATTGTTTTAGTTATGAACACATGGAATGACTCAGTGGAGTAGGAACTGAATTGCCGGTAATCTCATTACATGGTATGACATTGTTCACTTATTGCATTTGGTCACTGACGTTTCCCTACTGTAGATAACAGAAATAATTTGGACATGCAAATATAAAGAAGATTTACATGTGGATACTCTTACTCCATAAAAAGTTGTTATTTTTGCTCAGTAATTTTACACAGAAATATATACTATATCCACAAGACAGCCTCACTGTAGGATAAAGAATATTTGAAACAATTTGTCAATGTTGTACACTCATTTTCCTCTCCAGAAGGCATGCTAAAGATTGCTGTTCTTGAAAATTAAGCAGTTATTCCTACTGCTCATTTATAGGCTAACTTAGCCACACAATTATGCAAGACCGTTGTGTGTTTGCTGAATTATTCTAGCATGAATTCTTGGGGTCACTAGATGCTCTGGAGTCTTAGGTAGGGGAATTCTGCTTACCGCTTGGGTGAAGCTTCCAGCGATGCCAGAAGTAGCTCCTTCTGCAGGGCTTCGTGAAGTCCCACTCGGGCCCTCACAGTCTGGGGGAGACATGGCTGGCATTTGGATTTTAACCATCTAGAGTAGCATGTTCCACTCACCCAAGGGGGCCGCACTTTGAATAACTCCTCTGCAAAACACACAGTGTGGGCTTGTCTACTTATTTCACGCATCTCTCAGACAAGTCTACACAATCCAAAGCATCTGAACTATAGTTGTACAGGGCTGTGTGCCAAATAAGAATAATTCTAGCCATCTTCACACAGCATGGATTTCTTAGCCTCTTGGCACAGTAGCTACAAATTATTAGTCATTTCAGATCAAAGGACAAAGGTCAGAGAGCAACCAACTCTTTCTGGAGAGAACAGTTCATCAGGTAGTAGACTAGACATTCCTTCCCCTCTCCTTAGAGAAGTGAAAATTCAAGTAATTTCCCATTCATTCATCATAGTCAGTAAAAAAAAAAAAAAGGATGGACAAAACCAAATCAATTTCATTGCTCACTTTCACACAATATAAATCAGAAGACTTAACTGAACATGTATTCAAAATGTATTTAACTAATTTAAAAGGCAGGAAAACAGAGAGACACATAACAGATCTTTCATGGTGTGCTACCCAAGTTAAGAGCACCAATCCAGGCATCTCATATGGGCAGCAGGGACCCAAATACTGGAGCCAGCAGAAGCTGTTTCCCAAGGTGCACATCAGCAGGAAGCCAGGATCAGAAGCAGAGCCAGGCTGGGAAGTAAAGTACCCTGCTCCCTTCATACACTTCTTACGGTCATTCTTCCTTCCTATATTCCTATTTCCATTTCTGGTCCTTTTAAACTAGTCATGATTCTTCTGCCTTGGTTCACACTTCTTTCTCCCTGTTTTGGTCTCATACACCAAAGAGAAACTAGGACGGCCATGGAAGCACTGACTCTCAGCCTGACAGATGCTACCTGAGACTGTACTGCTTCTATTATCTATTAACTTTAAATGCGTAATAAAGAATTGAAGAGCTGGTTCTTCCAGAGTGCCACCTGTACATTATTCTGGAAAGAGCACCGTCCTTTGTTAAAATCTGAACACAAGGGCGCAGCACAGTAGACTAGTGGCTAAAGTCCTTGCCTCGCATGAGCCAGGATCCCACATGGGTACCAGTTCTAATCTTGGAGGCCCTGCTTCCCATCCGGCTCCCTGCTTGGAGCCTGGGAAAGCAGTTGAGGACGGCCCAAAGCCTTGGGAGACCTGGAAGAGCTCCTGGCTTTAGATCAGCGCAGCTCCAGCCGTTGCAGCTGCTTGGGAAGTGAGTCAACAAACAGAAGATCTTCCTCTCTGTCTCTCCTCCTCTTTCCTGTTTAAAAAGTCTTTAAAAAATCTGAACTCAAATACATGTGATTGTGCAATACTTGCATAAGATATAAAGCTTGAAAAAGTACTTACTTTTACGCAGCTCAATTTTCTCCCAAATTATTTTCCTTAAACACCTCTCTCTTCGTCTCTCCTGCAGCTCCTCGTCTTCAGTTTTAGGCTCATTCAGTGTGCCATACACAGCTGTGGCTTCCCTGGGAGTCAGCCAGTCCAGGTTAGACACACAAGCAATATAGTGGTGCTTCCAGGCTCCGTACTCATTCTCTGTGGGTGTGTAGGGCAGGAACCATCCAAACTTGACACATTTGGGCATCCATAAGCAATCCTTTAGAGAAAGGAGAGAAAGACAAGGTATAGATTATCTCAAAGGATAGTTTTCTAATGATAATGCTTTCAGGAATATTGTAATATTTAAAATTATACTGAAATTGCTGGTGCAATTGACTCACATCTGAACTTGACCCCAAGAAGCAGCACATCTTACTTCAGAGTGGAGTGTATGTATTATAAGTGTGTATATATTATAGGTGTGTATGTATTATAGAATATACATATTCTTCAGATTTGCAACTTGCTCACTGTTCCTTCCTAGAGTGTTTGATAACTTTGACCCTGTTTTTTTTTTTTTTTTGTTAAGGATTTTTACTTATTTGAAAGGAAAAGTGAAAAAGAGACATTTTGCATTTACTGGTTCACTTCCTAAATGGTTGCAACAGTTTTGGCTGGGCCAACCTGAAGTTAGGAACCTGAAACTCCATCTAGATGTTTCCCAATACAGGTGGCTGGGATGCAGGTAACTGGGCCTTCTGTTGCTTTCCTAGGGAGATTTGCATGGAACTGGACAGGAAGTGGAGCATCCAGGACTCAAGTAAGCACTTTGTGATGCCAGCAACACAGGCAGTGGCTTTATTCACTATACGTAACACTAGTCCTAGGTTATGAGAATTCAATGTCCAGCAGAGGCATAGCAGTATCAAACCAGCACTCCCACCAAGAGAGAGTTTTGATGGAAACATAGGATGTTGCCAGCACAAACACATTTATCACCCATAAAAACAGAAAATGTCATGCGGCTTAAAGTAAACAGTATCTAGACAGAGTATCATAAAGACAATTGTTTGGCAGCATTGTTCAGCCAGCAACACAACAAGGACATGTACAGCCAAGGCCACAGAGAGTAAGGAAACCCAGAGAGGGAAGCTGTCCTAGTCAGGGTCCAATCCTCCCTGGAGGCCTCTGCCAGTTCCCAAGCTCAGTAGGCTGAGAAGCAGAGCAGAAAACCATGGCTGAGCAGACATGGAAGCTGTAAGGGAGGCACATTGAATCCAGGGTCCACTGAAAGGCAGAGGCCTGGGGGTCACATCAGCCTCATCTGAGCTCCGCTGAAGGGAGATGGGTACGTGACAGCCAAATCCTCATGAGGACTGCAGATGAACACGACCCGTTCCAGCCTCACAGCACGTCAGGTGTGTGCTTGGTTCTCTCTGAAGGACAGTCAGCCTCACCCAGAGACTCCAGTGATCCCAGCAAGCGTTTTACACTCAGGAGCCAATACCCTACCAAGAATAACAGAACACATGGAAAGAAAGAGGTGTTTCAGGCCTGGCGGTGTGGCTTAGTGGGTAAATTCCTCACCTTGAACACGCCCGAGATCCCATAAGGGTACCAGTTCTAATCCCAGCAGCCCCACTTCCCATCCTGCTTCCTGCTTGTGACCTGGGAAAGCAGTTGAGGATGGCCCAAAGCCTTGGGATCCTGCACCAGTGTGGGAGACCTGGAGGAAGTTCCTGGCTCCTGGCTTCGGATCAGCACAGCACTGGCCATTGCGGTTACTTGGGGAGTGAATCATCAGACAGAAGATCTTCCTCTCTGTCTCTCCTCCTCTCTGTATATATCTAACTTTCCAATAAAAATAAATAAATCATAAAAAAAAACAAAGAAGACAAAAAGAAAGGTTTGTTTCTTCCTGTGATCTTTGGTAACTGTGCGGACACTTTCAGGAGACCCATAAAGGTATCATTATCAAATGTGACCTTGCAAAAAACAAACAAAAAACCCTCCAGCCATTAATGCTATCAGACTCACCACCAGGGAAAAAAAAAAAAAGCATCAGCCAACTGTTGAAAAAAGGACTTTATTGGGCGGGGGTGGGGTGGTGGGGTGGTGGGGAAGGGAGTCCATTCTCGGGCCTTTCCCTCGCACGATGGAGAGGCAGAGAGGAAGAGGGCAGCTCGGGAATGAAGCGCAAAGGAACATGCAGGAGGTTTTTACCTCTCTCCTGATGCGAAAGCTGGAGTCCTTCTTAGGAAATACCGACCTGAGCTGTCATTGGTCTGCCAGGACTCCACGCCCTGGTGACGTGCGGGTCCCCACTGACCCTTCCCCATCCCGCCAGAGGTCCGAGCGACCTGTCTGTTCTGACACAAACCTCCCTCCTCCGTAACCGCAGCAACCATCAAATACGTCTAAGAAATTAAATGGATAGGCAGAAAATGTTAGCAGAGGAATCAAATCATCATCATGGAACTGAAAAATAAACTAAACTAAGCTAGTATTTAGAACAAACTGTGTGAGTTTACGAGCAGGTTGAAATCCGGCTAAAAAAGTAATCACTAAATTGAAAGGGCAAAAGAAACTCGGGGTAGAAACACTGAAAGCCGAAAGGACAGAAACCACAGATAAGAGACACAGAAATTCTAGGACATGATGAACCAATCTCACATTCACACTTTAAAATCTTGGCAGGGATGGGGGCCTGGGGGAGGAGAAAGACAGAGAGAATGGGGCAGAAGCAACACATGAAGAATTGAAGAGGTGACATGTGAAACTTCAAAATGATTGCAAGATCTTAAGTCTCAGGATCAAAGCTCCGTGTGAAGCACAGAGTAAATACACACACACATGAGGGAATGTCACAAGTTCATAGAGATGGCCTAGTGTGGTCATACTGGGTTAAGCTGCTCCCCAATGATGCCAGCATCCCATGTAGCTGCCAGTTTGAGTTCTAGCTGCCTCACTTTTGATTTGGCTCTCTGCTGATGTGCCTGAGAAAAGCAGAAGATGGCCCAAGTACTTGACCCCTGTACCCACATGGGAGATTCAGAAGAAGCTCCTGGCTTTGGTCTAATTTAAGGATGGAACCCACAGATGGAAGATAGTGGTCTCTCTAACTCTACCTTTCAAATAACGACATTATTTTTTTAAAAACTAAATGAATTATTTGAATAGTGTATGGATCCTTTGTTATAAAATAAACTGCTATTTTTTTGAACTTATTCCATTATTTTCTCTTAAAAAGATACCTTAGTTATGGTTCAGATGTCCCAAGCTATAACTCTCTTGGAGGAGAGCTACCCTGATTCCTTCAACGAGGTTGCAAATGTATTTTCGCCCGTTACTAGAAAGTGACAAGTAGTTCACCTGTTCAGTTAAAAACTTCCAGGACCAGCTGACTTGGGCAGCTACACATAGGTCTTTTGGATTCAGAAAAGAAAAAATATAGAGAGAAATGAAACGTGGTAACACTGTAGAGAAATCCACTCTGGCTACTTGCATCCTTTCTGAAAACCAGTCTTGGACAAACCTAAAACAAAGATAGAAGTTCAGTTCAAAACATTAATATGCAAAATGAAACAAACATTCAATATGAGTACTGATTATTGTTCTTTCCCCAAAGTCCTCCTTGTGCAAAATAACTGAGCCCTAATAACACAGGCCCAGGTTATTAAAGATACTATATCCATTTTCAATTATTCATTCTAAAGAGGAAGATGAATAGGAGGATATCTAAAACTCACAGCAATTACGGAAAGAAAATACACTGGTCTGTTCAAGCCATTAATTTTTCCCCTTTTATCTTTTCCCCACATTCAACAATCCAGCAAGTCCAGTCAACTCTACTTCCAAAATACATCCCAGAATCCAGCTACCTTGCTGTGGTCCAAGTGTCCACACCTCTCTACTGAACCAGCACCACAGCTCTACGCAGCTCTATTCTTGCCTCACTTTGAATTACTCAAGTACTTTTGGTATTTCACACTAACTCCATTACTGGCTTTCTGTGAGACATGCACTTTTTAAATTGTAGCTAGAAAGTGTACTGCGTATGTCTAACTTCATTATTTCTTAGAGTCAACGTTCAAATAAAATCTAAAAACTCAGCAATAATATATGGGGCTGGCATTGTATAGCAGGTTAAAGTTCTCCTGCAATGCCAGCATCCTACTTGGGTGCCAGTTGCTTCACTTCGAACCCAGGTCCCTGCTAATGGCCTGGGGAAAAGCAGGGAAAAATGGTTCAAGGCCTTGGGCCTCTGAACCCATAGGAAAGAACAGATGAGTTCCCAGCCCCTGGCTACAGCCCAGCCCAGCCTCACCTGTCTGCTGTGGCCATTTGGGAAGTCAGTCAGTTGATAGATGATCTTTCTCTCTCTTCCTCTAATTTTTTCAAATAAATATTTTTCCCCAAAAAACCACTGTAACATACAGTCTTTTGCGTCTTTTATGTTTTTGTTGCTATATACCACACCTACATACATTACAGATGTCAGGATACATTGTTTTTACTTTAAACGGTTATCTGATCCTAAAATAAGTTTAAAATTTGATCTTCTCCTCCACATTTACCACTCCCTGTGTTCTTCATCCCATTCATAAGTCCAAATTTCCATCTGGAATCAATTTCCTTAGTCTGAAAACTTCTTTTGATGTTTCTTTAGTGTAGGTTTTTCTGACAGTAAATTTAGCCAACTTCCTCTTCCATGAAAAGATCTTTGCTGCATTTAAACATTAGTAGTACTATTCTGACCCTGCCAATCTATTTAAATAATCATCAATTCATAGCCAATCTGGTTTCTGCTATATGACTTCCATCTTCTGCCCCCATGTGTATATTCCCAGAAATCATTTTACTCAAATTTTTGGCTTAAATCACTAAACAAGATATTCTATTTTAGAAAAAAAAGATTGATTTATGTATTTGAAGGGCAGATTTACATGGAGAGAGGGAAGACAGAGCTCTTGGGGAGTGAATCATCGGATGGAAGATCTCCCTCTGTCTCTCCTCCTCTCTGCATATCTGACTTTGCAATAAAAATAAATAAGTCTTTTAAAAAAAAGAGCTCTACTATCCACTGGTTCATTCAGTGGCCCTGGCTTAAGGCAGCAGCCTGGAACCCCATCTTGGTCTTGCCATGAGTAGCAGAGACTCAAAGACCTGAGCTGGATGAGAAATGAAGCAGCCTAAGGCTGGAGTTGTGGCTTAATGGGTAAAGTTACTGCATGTAACTCCAGCATCCCTTATAGGCACCAATTCACGTCCCAGATGCCCCCCTTTTGATCTTGTTGTCTAATGACCTGGAAAAATAGAAGATGAAAAATTCTTTAAATACAAACAAACAAAAAAGAAGTAATTGAAAAAGCTTTCATACAGAAGGCCAATGTGGTAGACAGTGGCTTTTCACAATATGGGTCCCAAAAATGTATGACATTAAAAAAATTGAAAATCAGAGTTCCACAAAGAGGGCGAATAGAAAGAGAGAAGATCGCCTGGGATGGCCAGGCGTGAGCCAAGCCAAAGCCAAAATCTTCAGCCTGTCTCCCACATACATGGTAGGGGCCTACACATTTGGGCAATCTTCTGCTCTTTTCCCAGGTTATTAACAGTGATCCAGATAGCAGATTAAGCAATCAAGACACAAACCAGAGCTCATGTGGGAAGCCAGCATTGCAACTGATGGTTTTATTCACTATGCCACAATACCAGCCCCCAAAATGACATTTTAAAACATACTGGGACAGGCATTTGGCACAGTATTGAGACATTGCCTGGGATGCCCACATCCCATAACAGACTGCTCCACTTCCTGTCCCAACTGCTTGCCAATGCATATCCTGGTAGGCAACAGGTGATTACCCAAGTACGCGGGGTAGACGTGGGAGACCCAGACAGAGCTCCATGCTCCTGGTTTCAGCCCACACCCAGTCCTGGCTGTCGAAGGCATCCAGGGAATGAGCCAACAGATGAAAGATTCTGTCTCTATTTACCTCCCTCTGTTTTCCTTTCAAATAAATAAGCCAAGTGCATGTGTGGATATATATATAGATAGATAGATATGTATGTATGTATGCATGCATATATGTGTGTATGCAGAATCCTTTAAAATCCTATAATAATTGCTTAATGTGATGTCTTTTTTCATAACGATATCAAGAAATCATCTTGTATGTCACCTAAGCACAGATGAGACTTGAATGTGCACAAAATCAAAGACTAACAGAGCCTATTGTGGGAGCTTTACAAGCTTTTGATCAGAAAAGTCAATTCATTGCCCTGCAACCAACTGGAATGAATAAATGAATTGATCACTCAATACAATTCTTAACACCAGATTGTTCTCCGTAGATATTTCAAAAAAGCCTTCCACATCCCCCAGCCACCACATTTGTGGTCGTATTTAAATAGGAATTGCTCCAGCAGGAAGGTTTAGAAGAAATCCAGGAAGCAATCAGGTTCTTCCCTGAAGCCCCAAACTCAGTGAATTTGCAGATATCTGCAACCAATCTCATAGCTGATTGGAAGCTTTTGCAAAACAAACCTCCACCACTCAGCTGACTCAGGCCACTGGGACTGGAGAACACTGGGAATTTCTCCAACTGCCAATGGTTAGTGCAATCCAGTGTTCCTGGATCTTACTAGTCACACACTACTTTCCTAAAAGAAACACTGACCAAACAGAATTCATCCCATAGCAAATACTCCCAGACCTGAATGCTCTATAGGTTTTCCAAATAATAGAAAGGGAGGCAATTCTTCCAAATTCTTTCTATGAAGCCAGTATCACCTTAATATCGAAGAGAGATAGAGGCACAACAGATAAAGAGAACTATAGACCAGTATCCTTGATGAACATAGAAGCAAAGATCCTAAACAAGATACTAGTCAACAGGATCCAACAGCACATCAGGCAGAACATTCACCCTGACCAAGTGGGATTCATCGCTGGTATGCGGGGATGGTTCAATATTCACAGATCAATAACTATGATATACCACATCAACAAATTGAAAAATAAAATAGATTCAGAGAAGGCAATAAATTCAGAGAAGGCATCTAATAAAATCCAACACCACTTCATAGATAAGGAAAGAGCATTCTACGACATAATCAAAGCAATTTACAAAAAACCAATGCTAGCATCATACAAAATGAGAAAAGATTGGAAGCGTTTCCACTAAAATCTGGAACTAGACAGGGATGTCCACTCTGATGTCTATTTCTCAATACAGTATTGCAAGTCCTTGCCAGAGCTATTAGGCAAGAAAAGGGAATTAAAGGAATCCAAATCGGAAACGAGGAACTGAAATTATCTCTATTTGCAGCTGGAATGATTCTCTACATAGGAGAACCAAAAGACTCAGTCCAAGAAACTATTGGGACTCATAAGAGACTTTGGCAGCGTAGCAGGATACAAAATTAATGAACATAAATCTATGGCACTAGTACACACAAAGAATTCCGTGGCTGAGAAAGAAATTATAAGTACAGTCCCCTTTAAAATAGTGGAGAGGGGGCCCAACGGCATGGCCTAGTGGCTAAGATCCTCGATTTGAATGCGCCGGGGATCCCATATGGTCACTGGTTCTAATCCCAGCGCTCCACTTCCTCTCTATTTCTCCTCCCCTCGTTATATCTGACTTTGTAATAAAAATTTAAAAAAATAATAAATCTTTAAATGAATAAATAAATAAATAAAATAGTGGAGAGGAATCTTACCTAGGAATTGAACTAAATATGTGCAAGATCTCTATGATGAAAACCATAAAACATTGAAAAGGAAACAGAATATGACACTGAAACATGGAGAAACTTACATTTACCATGTTTCTGGATTGGCAGGATCAACATCAAGATATCCATATGACCAAAAGCAATATACAGAATCAACACAATCCCAATCAAAATCCCACAACTTTCTCAATCACAGAAATAGGAGATCCAAAAGTTCATCTGGAAACACAAGCGACCATGAATAGCCAAAGGTATCCTAAAGAATAAAAATCAAGCTGGAGGCATCACAGTTCCAGACTTCCTTCCCCTGCTTTCCTTGAACAGGGCTTGTAGGCAAAAGAAGAGCAAAGATTACACTTTCCTTTCACATGCCAGGCTTGGCCTTAACTGATGGATCAACAGTTCATATTGTTCCAATGGGAGACATGGAGTGGTAAGGACTGAATTGTCTTTACCAAATCAGGCATATGTTCAAGCTCTGAAGCCTTACATTGATGGCTGATGCATTAAGGATGGAGACTTCATTGAATTGTGGCATCCAAGAGGTAGGCCTGGGAGAGGTCTTCGGGCTGCTGAGGGGTTTGCCCTCTGCAATCAGTTCTCCTGAAAGGGCTGCCCTATCCAAGCATTTGGTCCAGCAGTCTCTCTGCTTCCAGGCTCATCATCAATGATCGGCCTTCTGAATCGTCTCTGCTGGTGCTGCCTCATCCTGAAGTGTGAACCTCCACAACTGTAAGCCAGCATGACTCCTTTCCATCCCAAGGAGCTCTCCTCCAGCATCTTGGCTACAGCAAT